TTAAATGATAGCTAGCTCACATGATTCCAGACTACTTCCCTACTTCCCATGTAAAGCTTCATGAGTGAAGATGTTCTAATCGGATGGAGAACACGGGGAAAGTCATACATATTTCTCCAAAATACAGGCCAAAGGGTGGTAATTACTGTGAAGTAGGTAGGCACAAGCAGAAATCTGCAGGTATATGCACATTCTGAAGTTGATGTTCAAGTCTTGACGAAAAAATATCGTAAATATTTGTGAACAATCAGGATTTAAGGGATATTATACGAAACATTCTTTGAGAATAGTAGCAGCAACCGGCTTGTATGCAGTTAAGATAAAGGAACAGCTATAATAACAGAAAAAACAGGCCACAAATATAATTACAATTTGATCTTACAATTGAACCAACGATGAATAACAGCAGAGAGTATTCTGTCTGCAGTGCGTCTAGTGAGATTATCATTTAATCAGGAAATATGCCCTTTTCTTTCAAAATTAAATTGCTGTTGGATATATTTTTAACATTCATGGAATGGATCTACCACGCCAACATTCATGTACAATTGTTGTCAAGAGGGTGAGACGTTGGAATAAATAATAAACTTCTGGATGTGGATGTTCTGAAATTATTATGCATCAGGATGGATATGGAGATAACGATGAGTATTCAATATCAAAGTCCATAAAACAATACAAAATAGGAGCAGAGCAAACACGGACCTCCGAAACATCAAAGGTGGGATCAGGTGCCATGGAGGAGTGAGCATCTCCTGCTGATCGGTCACACCCGCCGTGTGCTCCTTGTCATGATCGGGAAATAACGGAAAAATCCGTCGTAAAGTCAGTGTATAAATAATGGACTAACAATTAATATAAACAAGAGGCCCATGGGCCACATCGCTCACCTGAGAAACTTTGGCCATGCTGTTCTTTAACAGATTTCCTTCCACCAGGGGTCATGATTTGGACAGTTTATAATCTACACTACTCCAAGATGCTTTCACATAAGTTTCAGCTTTTCTGGCCAAATGGTTCTTGAGAAGAAGGTTTTCAAAGATTTTTCCTATATATTTCTATGTAAAAACTGGATTCCCTATTGTGGCCCCACCCTACCCCCACAGGTCGTGATTTGAACAATTTAGAATCTACACTACCCCAAGATCCTTCAACTTTTCTGGCCCAGTGGTTCTTGAGAAGATTTTAAAAGTTTTTCCCCTATATATTTCTATGTAAAACTTGGATTCCCTATTGTGGCCCCGCCCTACCCCGGGGGTCATGATTGATCAATTTAGAATCTACACTACCCCAGGATGCTTCCACATAAGTTTCAGCTTTTCTGGCCCAGTGGTTCTTGAGAAAAAGATTTTTAAAGTTTTTTTCCTATATATTTCTATGTAAAACTTGGATTCCCTATTGTGACACTGCCCTACCCCGGCGGTCATGATTTGATCAATTTAGAATCTACACTACCCCAGGATGCTTCCACATAAGTTTCAGTTTTTCTTGCCCAGTGCTTCTTGAGAAGAAGATTTTTAAAGTTTTTTCCTACATATTTCTATGTAAAACTTGGATTCCCTATTGTGACCCCGCCCTACCCCCAGGGGTCATGATTTGAACAATTTAGAATATACACTACCCCAGGATACTTCAAAATAAGTTTCAGCTTTTCTATCCCAGTGGTTCTTGAGAAGAAGATTTTTAAAGTTTTTTCCTATATATTTCTATGTAAAACTTGGATTCCCTATTGTGACCCCGGCCTACCCTCAGGGGTCATGATTTGAACAATTTAGAATCTACACTACCCAAGGATGCTTCCACATAAGTTTCAGCTTTTCTGGCCCAGTGGTTCTTGAGAGGAAGATTTTTTAATGACCACACACTATTTTTAAGTTTTCTTGATTACCTCCCCCTTGGAATGGGTCTTGGCCCTTGATTTTATCAATTTAAATTCCCCTTCACCCAAGGATGCTTTGTACCAAGTTTGGTTAAAATTGGCCCAGTGGTTCTTGAGAAGAAGTTGAGATTGTGAAAAGTTTACAGACGGACGGACGGACGGACGACGGACAACGGGTGATCAGAAAAGCTCACTTGAGCTTTCAGCTCAGGTGAGCTAAAAACGTCAGTCAGCATTTGACTCAATGAAAAATTATGTTTGCTGACAAGGTCATTATATCGACCATAGAACTTACGAAATAATAACTTTAAACGTAACTGCTGATATTCTTGTTTCATCAACTTGCTTGTCAGTTATTTACCTCGTTTTAGAAAGTGTTCATACGTAGAACGTGCTCTTGCGTATCGAATCAACTGAGATATATACTCTCCGTATGCAGGTGATGAAGGTATGTTGCTGCATAAGTAAGGGAAGTTGACGATAGTAAAGTTAAAGTCATCACGTTTATCATATAGCTTAGTTGTTAGATTATCATTAACGTCTTTTTCAAGTAAAATATCCAAGCATGAAACAGATGTGTCAAACTCTGTGGTATCTTTTATCTCAAGCTCACCAGGATACATCGAATCGACGTGGGAATGGAAATTACCATTGTTAATTGACAAAACATCGTCGATATATCGAAATGTTGAGTTGAAGGCCACAGCAAGTATTTTCTTCTTTTCACGCATAAGATTTTGCACACATTCTGCTTCATATGAATATTGGTACCCATGGGAATTCCAATAGATTGTTGGAATACATGGTCTCCAAAACCCGCATAGATATTGTCAATCAGAAACTCAAGCATCTTTTTGATGTCAATTTCAGAGTACTTGTTTGTGCAGTCAGAATGTGTTTTAACAAATTAATTTTGCAAATGACCAATGACCAGGTAAGTGAATTTATGAGTTCCATTTTTATTGAAAAAGCAGCTGTCAATGATATCAACAAGCCTGGACTTTAATTTATCGTGGGGAATGGTTGTGTATAGAGTTGAAAATTCTTAAGTTTTAAATCTGTATATTTTGGTAAAATGTGATTTCAAATTGTTCAAAAGTTCTTTGAAATTTTTGAGTATCCACATCTGATTCACACCACTTTTTGAATATAGTGTTGCACAGTATTCTTGAAGTTTTTCCTTCACTATTATATGTCTGAGTGAGGAGTAACGAAAGAGGCTTGGTTGAATTTAAAGACTGTACATATGACATACGTTCCATATCCCTGAGGATTATCCGAGGGGCACATATGTGTGTTTTCTGCATTGGATTTGTTATTTCCCAAGATGATATACTAGTACACTGTACTGGTTGAACATTTCATATACAAATGTTTGATATTTATGCATAATTGTGTATTAAATAAGAAAAAATCATTTTCCTATTTTTACTGCTAATGAAGCTCAGGAAATATTTTGCAATTTTATGTATTGTTTTGAACATTTAAAACCTGTACATTAAGTTACCATTAATTGTACATTAAGTTGACAAAACGCTGTCGATTAAGTTACGGGTGACTTAATGTACATGTTTTAAATATCCAAATCTATTATGCTATATAATGTACTAAAATCACAAAGGATTACATAACAGAATGTTTTAAGAATATATCATTGATTAACAGATAAAGAGTATCACTTGATAACAAATTTTTAAAAAAGAATATTTATCGAGAAAAATTATTTTTTAAAAAATGCAATCCATGTACTTTTACAAAATACATCTAAATATACATTCAAACTTTTTACTGAAATTCATCATTGGAGAAACAAAATATGTTTTCAATGAAGGGCAAGTAGACTTCAAAAGCTTCTGGAAAGTTGTTTCCCTGTCTATTTTGTCCAAATGTTAAGACCTGAAACCGAAAGTTCAGTAGGAATGGCGGATTTTATAGGGGTTTTGTCTCTATACATATCATGCTTTCAATAACAACCTTTCAGAGACAATTCAAGTCCAAATTGTCTTTCATTGATAAATACACTGCATATATATAATTTCTACTGTGATGGTTTTCACTAAAAGTACAGAATGAAACAGGTGTATTTTTTTAAATATGCAAAAAATTAAATTATATTTTTTCTCAAAAATATATTTTTTTAAATACTTGTTTTCAAATGATACTTTCTATCTGTTTATCAGTTACATATTTATACACTGTAAAAATTCTAACTTTATACCTCACATACTTTTGGAGCTATTGTAAAAATAAATTTTTAGACATGCTGACCTTTTCTTAACATTTACGACTAGACTTTTTTCCACACATTGTCCCACGAAAGTTCTAGGAATTTATTGTACTACTCCAGCATTTTGAAAGCATTAAGTTTTTGATAATTTTTAACAATGTAAGCATATTTCTCAGAAATGTTAGTTTTGAAGAAAATATCGGCTCTTAATGTTCATATAATTTTTCTTTGTTTGCAAGAGACGGTTTCAAAGATGCATTTTTAGAAAGGGCTCTTAATTACGCAATATTTCCATCTCTATTTGTTTTCTCTGTGATCATAACTCTTTGAAAGTTATTGGAGTTGATTTCTTGATAATTCTTCCAGGCTGTAAATTAGGCAAAGCGATGCGTCAGAAGCTAAGGAGGCCTAATATACTTGTAAATTTAATGCACGTCTGTCTTTGTGTCTGACGCTAATGAGGCCTAATATTCATGTAAATATCATGCAGCTGTCTTTGTGTTTGACGTCAGTGGGCGAGGACTGTTCAAATTTACATGAGAGGGCTAATGAAATTTAAATCTTTTAGTATACATTTTCAAAATCTAAATTTACTATTTTATTTCACAATGAATGTAAATCTAAGGAATCACAGTCTGGTTAGTAGAGTATACCAGGGACATCAACGATAGTTGAAAATGTGGGATAATTTATGCATAACGGGCTTCGCAGGAAATTAGCCAACGTTTCCAACTATCGTTGATACCCTGGCATACTCTACTAACTAGACAGTGATTCCTTACTTAGATATCATTTATAAAGCTTTTAAATTAAGATCAAAATTATAAAATTTGCTTTCATTTTTATGGTATTTTCACCCTTTGCGTCACCTACAGGAAGAAGGTAATAACTCTCTCAATGAAAATGAATTTATTGGAAATTGAAAGTTGTAAGCATAAAAATCAAATCTTATGTGTGCACAGTCCATTCGTTAAATGTGTATTTCTCATATATAAAGTGCATATTGAAGTTAATCATAGACTGTTCATATGCAGTCCAGAAGACATCCAATGTTGCAACACTTCATCGAAATCGGGCAGTCGCTATCTGATGTACAGCGGGCCAAGCAAATAGTCCGACTGGATCTCGCCCCACGTGTTCGATCGAATGGACAGCTTCTTGGGTAGTTGCGTATTATAAAACCATCTGCTGGTGTGAAAAAGTATAAGTACATGTATGCAGATTATTTCAATTTACATAGATCTTTATACTACCTGATTTTATCAAAAACATGCATCAATTTTTAAAAACTATTTATCAAAAGCATGCAGCATTTTTTTTAAAATCACAAACCAACTTGAAATAATACTTTTGACTTCTTGTTATTGAAAAAAAAATAAAATTCCACAGGGATCAAGTTCCTATCAGATAGGATATTTTGTAGATGAATTCAATTTAAAAACAAAAACCTAAAAACTGGTATTAAAAATACAACCCAATGATAAATACCCGGTAGGCCTAATATTTGTTAACAAGAACTTTATAAAGACCACTGAATTTACAGAATTGACGAAATACTAATTCTAAGTGAGGTGTTGAAATTCTTTTCTTGTTACATCAACTTATTTGTCTGTAGTCTGTCTCAATTTAAAGATTTATCTTTTTTAGAGCATGCTCTTAGAATAAGTTGGGAGATGTTGAAGTTGGAGAATATTACTACTAGTATATAAATATTAATTGACGATAGAAAGACTGAATCTTCTCGTTTTTCATAAAGTTGTTAATTGGCCATATTGCCCACAGTCAGTAGAAAAATCCAAGCATGAAATGGGTGTAGCACACGCTGTGACGTATAGTATTTAACATAAAATTCTATAAAATCCCCTAAACATCAGTTTAATAAAAGAAATGAATTTTACCAAAAGAATGAAATGTAAATTGAATTTGAATTAAATTATTTTATGAAATTTTTGCTTCAGATGATCTTACCACATGTGCTGAGTAATCCTAACAACAACACGGCGATTAGAACTTTAACCATCCTGAATCAATGCACCTCACCTTGTCATAACATAAGAACAGATTAGTTCGCTTTATGTCTCATAGATATGGAAAAACCTTGGTGATTAATTTGACAAATGGTACAATTGGAATTTCTTTTTTCCTGCTGTTTTGTTGACCTGTGAGTTTCTAGAAATTCCGACTCAAAAGCTATATCTTACAAATATTGATTTATATATTTTTTTATCATTTTTAGCAGAATTAAAAAAAATCTGCATGGGTAATGAAGTTATTTTTTCTAAAGATGAAATTTACGGATTTTTTCACTTACAATTGTTTTTATTTTCATTTTTTTATTTTTAATTTCATTTAACTTTATAAACAATGACTTTCACAAAAAATACTCTTTAGTAATTGCAAGAGTGACATCATGTCCATAGAAAACAGAGAAGTGTATGTCCAAAGTTGTTTTCAATATTTTCTTGAAATGTCATGATTAAAGCATTTAGGAGAAATTCATCGTTTCTGGATTATACTGAGAAGACTTCATTGAATACTTATTATGATAAAGACTGACAATGAACAGTTTGGAGCAATAACTTTTTTTCTTTTAAAATTGTTGTAATTTCCCTATTTATTTACAGCGCATTATAAGGATCAATGAACTTTGCCCTAGTAGTTTTTCATCAGTTCAAAAGCGTAAAGAAGGATCCATCACTCTAATTAAAGAATTTCAATTCAACAAATGATGCATTTTCCTTTTACAAGTATTTTTGCTGAAAATTTGTCAATTACAGAAAAACAAACATATCAGATTATCTAACATTAAACATGCCAAGATGATTAGTTTAATGTCGTCAATGAAGAAACATTGGGAATCAAAAGGGACAAGAGGGGGAACATAAACATAGGAGTCAGAAGATTTTATCGTGAAAAAAAAAAATCGGAAAAAATGTTCCCACCTTCAATTAATGAAACGTTTTTAGGGTGGGAATTTTCTTTCTGGATTTTTCCAGACTCCTCATGTGACATAAACAACTTGCTAATGTTTCAGAGCATAAAATGGAAAGATTTTCGACAGAACCGACTGATACAATTTAAAAGACTCCTTTAAAAAAGTTGAAATGAAAAAATTGATTATATATTTTTATCGTAACAGGTACGTTAAAAATCCGGGTTTTCATAAGATGAAAAATAAAAAGCTTTATTCTCGATTTCAAATCCACTCAACCAAATCGTATTTAATTAAATTAATACCCCCCCCTCCTCATTTTAATTTATATTAAATCTATAATTTTTGTTCAGCAATTATTGAACAAAATCAACCCCTTTTTTGTTGTTATTTGCAGTTTTCCTAACCCTCATTTTTTTCTCTTGATATTATTTTGGCATTATCTTATGAGGTAAAATTTCGACTTTTTATAAGACCTTTCTGAGAACTTCAAAGAATCTTGAAGCACATTGAGACGTATAAAATAGAAATTGTTGCATGAAAAGATTTAATTTTCAAGCTTCATTTTGAGACTTTTTGAATCATATTATAAATTAAAGAGTTATCCTTCCTGGTGGAGTACCTTAACCTTCATCACATAATGATGACCCTGATTACCAAACACAGACTTCCTGTGTAATGCTACGTATACACAGATTTTTGACATCTTGGGTATTGGGGGTCTCCAGGTAAATAACACCACTAGTACTTCGACCACTCCCCCTCCTCAGGTAACCGTACGGTAAAAAAATTGGGACTTTAAAGAAAGAGGCGCAACTCTTTACTATAACAACCAGCCTATTTCCTAAAAATTGAAGAAAAAATGGCATAATATATAGGGGACCCAAGAGGTTCATTTGTATTGGCTACTTTGAATCCAGAGTTTCTTAAACTTTGTGGCACATGTGATACATGGTTATCACATAGGACTATAGTTAATGCTGAGTTTGTGGCACGAAACTATAGTTTTGTTCAGATGCTTTGATTATTAGTACTAGTAATATATACATTCAGTTTATCTCGAAGAGGGTCGAGAATATTTGCAGGCATTTATTACATCTTACACTTTAATTTGTAAAATATAAACTTTATTCTGTAAAAATTACGCTTAGATATGTTCTTAAATACATTTTTAAAATGATATAGATAAAACTGTAAAATATAAAAATAAACTGTGTTATTGTGTGAAATTTACAGATTAATGTGTATAAAGATTATATTTAAATGTATTTTTTACAGATGAAAATGTGGAAAATTAAAATTTAGCAAGTATTCAAATGGCACTAATGGACTTTCGCGAGGAATGCTGACTTTTACAGTTGACGGTGGTTTACTTTTACACTAGGACAAAGTACGGGGGCTCTTCAACGATTTAAATATTTAGTTAAACATTTAAAATTTTAAACGAAAATAACGGGTTAGTTCAATGCACAAATGAGTTGCCCTTGAAGAAAACAACAACTACCCTACCTTTAATTTAACTCCCGGCCTTCACATGCAAGTGCCCCAAACACCATGCCACTAGAAATGTTTTCTTATCTTTTATCATTTCTGTATCTCCGTACACGACACAGGTTAAAATGTCAAAGAAGTAAACCGTCAGCTTCTCGCAAAAGTCCAATATGCTTTCAATAGCTGGATAAACAGAAACAAGAGGCCCAGGGGCAACATCGCTCACCTGAGCAACTGGCTATGTAAAACCTAGAAGGCAAAAATTCAGTTAAGTATGGAAAAGTTTAAATATAAAAGTGGGTTCAATGGAGGAGGGGGGGGGGTATTTGAACAAACTTCAATCTATACCTCCTACGGATACTTTTAAATAAATATGATACATAATGGCTTTGCTGCATGTTTATTTGATGCAAATTTTCATTGATATAGCCTTTATAGTCCTTAGTATAACTATGATCCACTTTTATGGCTCCTCTTTTCTCCTGGTTTGTCATGATTTGAACAAATTTGAATCTACACTTCCCGGGGATGCTTCCATATAAATATGAACAATCACAGCTTTGCTGTTCTTGAGAAGATTTTTTAAATATATTTCCTATGTATTCCTATGTTAAACTTTGATACCCGATTGTGGCCCCACCCTACCTCTGGGGGTCATGATTGAATAAACTTGAATCTACACTACCTGAGGATGCTTCCATAAACTATGACCAATCATGGCTTTGCTGTTCTTGAGAAGAAGAATTTTAAAGATTTTCCCCATGTATTCCTATGTTTAACTTTGATCCCCCATTATGGCCCCATCCTTCATCCTGGGGTCATGATTAGTACAAACTTGAATCTACACTACCAGAGGATGATTCAACATGAGTTTCATTGTTCATGGCCCAGTAGTTCTTGAGAAGAAGAATTTTAAAGGTTTTCCCCATGTATTCCTATGTTAAACTTTGACCCCCATCATGGCCCCAACCTACCCCTGGGGGTCATGATTTGAACAGATTTGAATCTACACTACGCGGGGAGGCTTCCACATGAGTTTCATCTTTCCTGACCAAGTGGTTCTTGAGAAGAAGAATTTTAAAAATTTCCCTTTGTATTTCTGTGTTAAACTTTGATCCCCAATTGTGGCCCCACCCTACCCCTGGGGATCATGATTTGAACAAACGTGAATCTATACTACCTAAGGATGCTTCCACATGAGTTTCATGTTTCCAGACCGAGTGGTTCTTAATAAGTTTATTTTTAAAAGATGCCATTAATTTTTCACTAATTCATCATTATTCCCCCTTAGAAGAGGGCGTGGTCCTTCGTTTGAATAAATTTGAATCCTCTTCACACAAGAATACTTTGTGGCAAGTTTGGTTATTTAAAAGAAGATGAAAATGTGAAAAGTTTACGACGAGACAACGACAAATGACGACAACAGACAACGGACAAATTTTGATCAGAAAAGCTCACTTGAGCTTGTTTATAGTCGGTCTATATTATACGTGTCTATAAATCATCGACATGTATAATAAAGACCGACTTGTAATGAAGTCGAATAAAACTCATTTCAAATGAGTTTCCTTCAAAAAAATGGAAATAATACATTCACTATAGTGATTGAAACGATGTATTATAATTTTATTTATAGTAAATGCTCAAAACTAAGGTATTATAGAGCAGTGAATCCAACAAGGGTCAGGCCGTCTTTAATTTACGGTTAAACTACACCGACTCTCCACACAATGTCCCACGAAAGTTCGAGGAATTTATCGTACTATTCCGGCATTTGGGAAACAATGTTTTTAATAATTTTAAACAGAATTTAAAATACATTTACATGTAAACATTATATTTCTCAGAAATGACAGTTTTGAAGAAAATTGTCAGCTCTAAATGTTCATATAAAATTATTTTTGTTTGTAAGAGACGGTTTCACAGTTGCATATTAGGAAAGGGCTCTTAATTATGCATTAAATATCATTTATAAAGTTTTAATGAGAATCAAAATGATTAAATTTGCTTTCTTTTATATGGTATTTTTGCCCTTTCCGTCCCCATAGGAAGACATTAATAACTCTCTCAATGAAAATTAATTTATTGTTAATTAAAAGATGTGAGCATAAAAATCAAATCTTATGAGTGTACAGTATATTCGTAAGAATTCATTTCTCTCATACATAGTGCATAAAGTTAATCCCAGACTGCTGCAGCGCATTCCCGAAGACAACCAAAGTTGCAGCACTTCTCCCAGATCAAGCAGTCCGTATCAAATGTACAGCGGGCCAAGCAAATGCTTCGACTGGACCTCACCCCACGTGTTCGATGAGCAGGGCATCTTCCAGGGTGGTTCGATATTAAAAAAAACATCTGCTGGTGTGAAAAAGTATAGGAGCATCCAGATTATTTTTACACATATTTTTATACCATCTGATTTTATCAAAACCAGTATTTGTTTTCAATCACAAACCAACTTGAATAATACTTTTGACATTTTATTTATAAAATAAGATTTTACAGGGATTAAGTGCCTATCAGTTAGATAGATCATTTTGTAGTTGAATTCAGTTTATTAAAAAATCTAACAACTGATATTAAAAAGACCACTGAATTTACAGAATTGACGAAATACTGATTTTAAGTGAGGTTGTTGAATTTCTTCTTTCATCAACTTATAATAAAATTTAAATTGAATTTGAATTGAATTATTTTAAGAAACTTGCTGCTGATAATCTTATCACATGTGCAGAATAATCCAACTAACAACAAGGCGATTAGAACTTTAACCATTTTGAACCAATGCACCTTTCCTTTAGTTATCAAAACATAAAAACAGATTAGTTTGCTTTATGTCTTATAGATTTGTAAAAACATTGGTAATTATTTTGACAAATTGTACAATTGGAATTTCTTTTTTCCTGCTGTTTTGTTGACCTGTGAGTTTCTAGAAATTCCGACTCAAAAGCCATTTCTTACAAATATTCATCTTTTTTTTTTCATTTATAGCAGAGTTTTTTTAATCTTCATGGTTAATGAGGTTTTACTTTAATTTTTTTCATTTATTTTTAATTTCATTTTAGAAACAATATCTTTCACAAAAACAATCTAGGCCTATAGTAATTCCAAGAGTGTCATGACCATAGAAAACGGGGAAGTGTATGTCAGAAGTAGTTTTCAAGATAATGTTTTCTTGTCATAGCAATATAAGCATTTAGGAGAACTTCAACGTTCCTGGATGATAATGAGGACACTGCATTATGATAAAAATGATTAGTTAACAATGAACAATTTTGGGGCAATAACTTTTTTCTTTTAAAATTGTAGTAATTTCACTATTTATTTATAGCGCATTATAACCATCAACGAACTTTGCCTTAGTAGTTTTTCATCACTTGATAAGCGTAGTGCAGGATCCATCACTCTAATAAAAGAATTTATGCCAACCAAGTATTAATGAATTATATCCAGCCAGAGTCCGAGCTTGTTTTGCGAAAATTAGACACAATACCCATGTTGCGTGAAAAGGTCATTTTTTCACAAAAGTATATATCTCATAATATTGAATATCATATAATAGGCATTTAGAAAAATACATCATATGATATGATTGAATAAATGACATAGATTCGCAAAGGTGGGGATAAATATGTTGCCATGATAAGCGTACTGCAGGATCCATCACTCTAATAAAAGAATTTAAATACAACACATTATGCATTTTCCTTTTACAAGTATTTTTGCTGGAAATTCCTCAATGACGTACAAAAAAGAATCAGATTATTTAACATTATACATGCCAAGATGGATTAATATAATGTCTCAATAATGAAACATAGGGAATCGAAAGGGACAATGGGGGAACATACACAACATCACATGCATGCAATATGTTTCAGAGCATAACATCGAAGGTTTTTCGACACACAACTGATTTCAACTGATACAAATTAAAAGACTCCTTAAAAAAATGTGAAATGAGAAATAAATTTTATATTTTTATCGTGATGGGTCCGTAATAAAATCCATGGTTTTATTAGATAAAAGTTTTACTTTCGAAGTAAAGAGAAATAAAATTGGGAAATTTTCCTCTTAAAAAAAACAGGAAAGCTTGATGTAAGCAATGTCAACTGTGAATACTTTAAAGTAATCAGTATGTATAAATATGACTAATCATGACTTTGCTGCTCATGATAAGAATTTTTAGAGGTTTTTAATTTTTTTCCCCATTGTATTCCTATGTAAAACTTAAAGCATTCAAAGTATCCCCCTTACCCCTAGGGGTCATGATATGAACAAAACGTACACTAGCTGAGGATGCTTCCATACAAATATGATTAATCAGTCTTTGCTGTTTGTGATAAGAGGTACTTGTATTTAAAAAAAAATCTGTATATTGCTATGTTAAACTTTGATAGCCCATAGTGGCCTCATCAAACCCTCCCCCTTTCATGGGGTCATGAGTTTTACAGATTTTAATATACTCTACCCCAGTAAGCTTTCACAAATTTTTCTCTATTTTTTGCCCAGGGGATTGTGAGGTTTTAAAAGTTTTAATGTATTTCTTAAGCTACCCATGCATAAATAACATTTATGATAAGCATCTTAATTATGTACATGTACCTGACTTTTCAAAAAATGCACAAAAGAATTATTTCTTCTCATTTTCAATTTCTTGTACATTTTTCCGGTAATTATTGAAACTAAACAATAAAAAATGAATTTTGAAAATAAGAACAATTCCCTGTCTGTGAACCCCTTTATACAAATGCATGCATGAATGACCTGACGTGCAACACAGAAATCAGTCTAGTGTAGATTCAACATGGCACAAGATTTTGAATACCCACAACAGAAGATGACGGTGGAATCGTGGAAGGAAAGCTGGGAGACCTCCGATATAGGCTTCCACAACCCAAATCTTAATGAAGAGTTCCTAAAATATAACAAGAGAATGCTAACAAGGCCTGGCATGAGAATATTTGTGCCGCTGTGTGGAAAAGCAGTGGAGATGAAATGGTTGGCGGATCATGGTTATAAAGTGGTGGGACTAGAGGTAGCACCTGTTCCTTGCAAGGCATTCTTTGAGGAAAATAACATTCCTTATAAGATCTCGGAGATCGGGGCCATCCAAGGGGAGAAGTATGAAAGCTTGGATGAAAACATTGTCATTTATTCCTGTGATTTTTTTCATCTTACTGTGGGTATATGTGGAGAATTTGATGGGATATGGGACTGCGGTGGCCTAAATGCTATGGATATTGAAGACAGGGTGTCCTACATTCACAAAATTCGAACCTTCATGGGAAAGGGGTGCATCAACTTGACCGAATTTGTTAACTTTGATAAGTCTATGAGTGATGTTCCGTGGAGCATGTCCACTGAGGACTTACAGAAAGGCTTTGGGGAGGGGTTTAAGGTGGAGTTTTTAACAAAAGAGGAGGCCTGTCAGGCATACAAGGACCAAGGCTGCACCTCTGTGGAGCTATTCATGATCACCAAGATCTAAATTTAAAATGAAAGTACCATCAGGTTTCACTTTGAAAACCAGTTTCAATTTGATTTTTTTTCATTATTATTTTTTTTGCTCAGGGGCATTTTTTAAAAATGGAAACAACTGGGTTTAAAGATATTTTATTTTCTCAGTGCCATACTTTATATTCGTTGTTTATATTCAATTTTTGTGCTAAATGTTTATATAGTGCCATATATATAGTTTTATACATACTTTTCAATACTGTACAATACATACAATTATATAAGAATTACTGATTCCTTGTGTTTATGAAACAGACTGCTGTAAATCACTTTTTATTTGCAAAACTTTATTTTTATGTCATTACAAAACTGTGTGTTCATAACTTTTTTTTTGCTTATTGAATATTTGTTGATAAAATAATTTCTTTTTTAATAAAGCTTATTTACTTACAAAAAAACTAACATTCCTGAAATTCTTGCATATTAATATCATATAACCATGGTAACTGTTTCATGGAAATAAGTTGTTGCAAATATAAGGTGATCTAGATGAAGTATAAAAGTGGTACATGTATTACAAACATACCAATAAATACTTTTAACTAAACAAACTGGATTCTTAAATTACATACGATACTAAAATAGAGCATTTATTTACATTTTCTCCAAATTGAACTCGTTTTCTCACACAGTAAAACGGTACTTATTCATGGTAACGACATGCACATGGAAAGACAAAAGAATATTTTACTCTGGCTGAAATGTCATACCCCTTTATCCTAATTATCTTCAATTCTTCGGAGATTAAAAAAAACTCCTAAATTTAAAAAGCAGTGAAACAAATTTATCTAGCTGTTAAAATTTAGGCCTTATCTCTCTTTTTATCCCTATAGCCGTAAGAGTTAGAACTCAGAATTAATTAAAGTTTGTCATTTTATCACAATTAAATGTATACATGTATAGACTTGAAGATTGAGCAATCAGAAATAAATACTTGGTCTGAGAGATACTTATATACAGATTGACAAGACCTTGAACCCTGTCAGCTCAACAGCCTTACGGTCAACAGAGAGTTCTGAAAACCCCTGTATCATAAAAATATGTGACAATATTTCTGTGTTGACCAGTCTTTTTATTACCTACTGTGTCAGTGAATTTCAGTAAGATCTCTTAATACAAACCATCAGTAATAATTTAAATATCATAAACATTGTGCTTCTGCTTTATCAATGTCGCTTAAAAAGTCTTAATTCATATACCACAATTCCTTATAAAACGAAGAGCATACAGAGCTTAAAAGTAACAAAGATTGGGTCTGAAGACTTTGTAGGTCAAATAAACAGTTTACAGAAATTATGTAATCCTTAAAAAACTTCCACAGGTGATCAGTGAGATGTGAATCCATTAATCATTTCAATAAAAACTCCGGTTCTCGTAAACACTAAATAGTGCATTGTACTAAAAAACAATTACACTTTCAAGAGCATTATCAATGAAGAATATTTTTAACATATTTGGACATTTTCCCCTTCAAAACTTTTATATGACTAGCATTCTCATACTATTCATTGCTCAACAGATAGAAAAATATCACATAAGGTCATAAAGTTACCAAAGTGTCAAATTTAATCACCAAATATATCAGTTAATCACTAGTGGATAAACTTTATTCCATACATTCGCCATCAACTTTTTACCATCTACGTCAAGAAAACGACATAAGATTTCACAAGATAATATCTCGTTTTCACAAGATAATACCTCGTTTTCACAAGATAATATCTCGTTTTCTCAAGATATTATCTCGTTTTCACAAGATAATATCTCGTTTTCACAAAATATCTCGTTTTCACAAGATAATAAGTCGTTTTCACAAGATAATATCTCGTTTTCACAAGATAATTTCTCGTTTTCACAAGATAATATGTCGTTTTCACAAGATAATATCTCGTTTTCACAAGATAATATCTCGTTTTCACAAGATAATATCTCGTTTTCACAAGCTATTATGTCGTTTTCACAAGATAATATCTCGTTTTCACAAGATAATTACACTGTATGTCGTTTTCACAAGATAATTTTTTTCTGGTATTTAAAATAAAAATAATTGCGTGTCCTAAATATATCACCGTACAATCGAGTGCCTTGAGTGATAATTTGCATAAAGGCCGAAGGCGTTTATGCATAAAATTATCATGGACTTGCATTAATGACCTTGGTTCAAAGTCATGAAACACCCTCAGGTCATAAGCAATCATTGTGTAAAATGGGAAGTCGCAACGTTTAACTATCAGAAAGATATGGACCGGACATGAATTATTTTTTTTTCATAAGTGTCCTTGAACTTGGACAAATGACCTTGACTCAAAGTCATGACACAACACCCTCAGGTCAGAAGCAATTTTTGTATAAAACAAGAACCCTCCAAGTTTATCCATCAGAAAGATATGGACCAGGCACAAATTATGAACATTTTTCTTTCAGTGACCTTAAACTTGCACAAATAACCATGAGTCAAAGTCATGACACATCCTCAGGTCATAAGCAATCTTTGTGTAAATAGGAACCCTCCAAGTTTATCCATCAGAAAGATATGGACCAGGCACAAATTATGAACTTTTTTCTTTCAGCGACCTTAACCTTGCACAAATAATCTTGGGTCAAGGTAATGACACACTCAAGACATAAGAAATCTTTGTGTAAAACAGGAACTTACCAAAATTATCCATAAGAAAGATATGGACCAGAGATGAATTTTGAAATTTCTCTTTCATTGACCTTAAACTTAAATGACCTAAGGCAAGGTCATTTAAGTTTAAGGTCAATGAAAGAGAAACAACCCTCAGGTCATATGCCATCTTTGTGTGAAGTAGTAGATTAAAGTTCCATAAGAAAGATATGTATCAAATATGAATTATGTAATTTTTCTTTCAGTGACCTAGAACTTGCACAAACGACATTGGGTCAAGGTCATAACACACCCTTAGGTCATGGGGAATCTTTGTGTGAAATGGGAACTTACCAAGTTTATTCATTCATAAGAAACATATACAGCAGACACGAATTATAAAATATTTCTTTCAGTGACCTTGAACTTCTCTAAATGACCTTGGATAAAGGTCATGACACACTCTGAGGTCATGAGGAATCTATCTTTGTGTGAAATGGGAACTTACCACGTATATCCATAAGAAAGATATGGACAGGACACGAATTATGATTTTTTTTCTTCCAGTGACTTTGAACTTCCCTAAATGACCTTGAGTCAAAGTCACGACACACCCCTTAGGTCAAGAAAAATCTTTTTGTGAAATTAGAACTTCCCAAGTTTATCCATAAGAAAGATACCGGACACGAATTATGAAATTTTTTTTTCAAGTGACCTTGAACTTCCCCAAATGACCTTGGGTCATGGTCATGACAAACCCTTAGGAATCTTTATGTCAGACAACTTAACAAGTTTATCCATAAGAAAGATATGCACCGGATACGAATTATGAATTTTTTCTTCCAGTGACCTTGAAATTCCCCAAATGAGCTTGGGTCAAAGTCATGAAACACCCTTTGGTCACGAGCAATCTTTGTGTGAAGTAGTAGATTCTAATGTTCCACCGTAAGAAAGATATGGACCGGACACAGACGGACAGACAGACGGACAAGGTGATTCCTATATACCCCCTAGTTAGAATGATCTAACTGTGTCTCGGTACAAGCCCTCGCCACAGTTAGAATACGTCCCATATACTTGCAATGTAGCAAATCGGAGCGGATCCGCTCCGAAATGATTTTGAAGAATATAGAAGGATTTGCACTGGAAATAACAAACAAATTAATCAAAACAAACCTTTTTTGAAATTATATATGCCTTTTATCCCAGAAAATAATCCATCTAAAGACGAAAATCCAATTAATTTTCTCAACGTTTTTCTCTCGCTTCAAATTTACCTGCCATGTTTACATTCGGAACTCTCTAGATTGTTCGTAGTAAATGCACTGAGTTATAGTGAGTACGAGTTATCGCCCATGTTTCTTTTGCTACATAACGAATACACGGAACGAATTCTATCGTTAAACCGGGTCCGTAGGACAATATTATTTTAACGATAGATTCTATCTATATACCCCCAAACTTCGTTTGCGGGGGTATAATGATGACAACAACAAACAACGGGCATATTTTGACAAGAAAAACTCACTTGAGCCTTCGGCATAGGTGAGCTAAAAGGATAAAAAATATGTTTTTAAAAAGTATCTTAGCATGTTTCTTATCCCCCCGTAATCGATGATTTGGGGATCTCTAGTTTTTACCCTCTCCGTCCGCCTGTCTGTTTGTCTGTAGAAACTTTAACCCCATAACTTTTTAATGGGTTGGGGTATGGATTTCATATTTCACACGTGCATTCCTTGTGACAAAACTTTTCTTTGGGTACCAACAAATTTTATTCATCGATAATCAGCTGGAATCATATTAAGACAAACTATAAGCTACATTCACTTCAGGTTTGGCGGTTACGGACAAAATATTTTTTATGAAATTAAAATAATCTGCAAGTGAAAAATAATTGGTAACATTTTTATAGATAATATATTTTTAGGTACTTATTATACCTTAGCCTTATCCAGAATCTCCTGTTGCGATTTTGTCAACGCCATGACTTTACTTTCACTTTTGCGTTGCTTAACTTAGCAACCAATGAAATCACTGTATTATAACATTTAGACCCAAATTACCAGAAGTGAATTAATGTTAGTAGCTCATAGTTTGTCTTAAAACGATTCCAGCTGATTATCGATGAATAAATAAACATTTTACAACAAAAGATCTTTATAGGAGACGTCAGCAATGTAGAAAAATATCTCTTGGAGCGAACTATGTCAAGATAATGTAGGTGTATGATTGATTTATTAGTAAATACGAGCTTGAAGCGGGGGTGCCCGAAAATGAGTTAGGTACCTTGTGGTAAATATAGGTAGGGGGACCCCGTATACGAAACAAGTGCCTGTGGGCATATGCAGTATACCGCATATAGTTCTTTTCTAATTGCATTTCTTTTCGAAAATGAAAGAAAAATATGGAGTGCACATTCTTAACACCATTTATATACATGTATTAAACTTTCGTAATTTCGTTTTGCTCTTTGAAATCTTGTTTGTATTTTTCTACATCACTAAATATGTTTAACAATACACAACCCTACTAATGGTATTGTGATTAAATTCAAGACACCAGCATTTTCAGTTATTCAGTGCTGGGGATCGGACTACCTTAAACCAACCCTACCTGAAGAAGCTTCCTGATAAATATGAGTATAGTGACGAACTTTATATTCAAGTTTACATTATGTAATAAGGTTTTCACCTACAGTTTCATCTTTTCTGGACCAGTGGTTCTTGACAAGAAGATTTTTGAAAGATTCTATCAAATATTCACTTATTCTTAATAATCTCCCCATGAAAGAAGGAGAAACTTTTTCCTTGACTATAACTCAATATTGGTGCGAAAAAGGCCCAGTGGTTCTGGAGAAGAGAATGTGAAATGGTGAAGCTATTAATTACAATGACGATGACAATACAAACGACAAAGGACAGACAACGAACAGAATTAAATGAGGAAAGCTACCTTGAGCACTTGGCTCAGGTAAACCAATAATAATGAAATGAACTTTTTCTCTTCATATAACGGTAAAATAACCTCTTCTTTTCATATTACGGTAAAATATTCAATAAATACTGAATTCATGCGCATGAAAAATGCGAAAAATGCGTGTAAATGTGAAATTGTGAAATGCAAGTTCATTTAAATAATTTTCATTTAATTTAGATAATGAATGTTGTCAATTTTCATTAAAGAGATCAAAGAGAGTCTGTTTAAAGTTATGAAATATTTATGAATTTGGAATAGAATTTGTAAATAAATGTGTCTGGCAATTATGGATTTTCTAAAAATAAATTGCAATATAAAAAGTGCAACAAGCAATGCAAGAAATATACATGAACCCATTAATTTGAGAATGTCAACACTTATTACAAAAGTTGCGTGCAAATGTAATTGAATGATACATGTTTAGTCATCCTAAGACTAACCTTGGGAAAATAAAAAAAAAACAGAAAATAAAAGGATATAGAGATAACGAACAGTATTCAATATCAAAGTCCATAAAACAATACAAAATAGGAGCAGAGCAAACACGGACCTCTAAAACATCAGAGGTGGGATCAGGTACCATGGAGGAGTAAGCATCCCCTTGTGACCGGTCACACCCGCCGTGAGCTCATTGTCATGATCGTAAAATAACGGAAAAATCCGTCGTCAATTCAGTGTATAAATAATGGACTAACAATTGGTATGAAAAACGTCAGTCAGCATTTGACTTAATGATAAATTGTATTTGCTGACAAGGTCATTGTATCGACCATAGAACTTACGAAATGATGACTTTAAACGAGACTGCTGATATTCTTGTTTCATCAACTTGCTTGTCAATAATTTACCTCGTTTTAAAAATTGTTCATACGTAGAGCATGCTCTTGCGTATCGAATCAACTGATATATATATACACTCCGTATGCAGGTGCTGAGGGTATATTGCTGCATAAGTAAGGAGATGACAGACAGAATTTGGTTTAAAAGCATATGAATCTGTTATATGCATATATATCCTCGGAGGTCCATGAATCGTTACCCTATAATTAGCTACAGAACTGTAACGTTACGGTTTTATATATTAGTCGTTGACCATAACGCTACAGATCCCGTAATGCAAAAAAAGTGTAATTTACGGCGCAAGAATTTTTGCGCACAATTAAGGATAATTCCTACACTTTCCAGCATTGGTAAATCAACTGTCTTTCACTTCCTAATTCTAGACATTATTTAATCAATCTGTTTATTTTATCCATCTTCCAACCCTTTTATAGTTGTGTCTACAATCGATAAACTTTCTTGATATGAATTTTCTGCAATCCAACAGACAATTCAAATCAAGCTAGTTTACCGCCTGTAAAGACGCCTTTTAAGGGATGGGAGGTAGACAAAACATACAGATTGGTTACGTAATGTGCATAGAATTAGGACGTGAAAGGTAGTTGATTTACTAAGGTTGGAAAGTGTAGAATTATCCCCATCGTCGGAAACCCACGGGTGATCTCGTCTTTACTTATCACCCGTGGGCAAACTCGCCGAAAAATCGAAGTAAAATATGCTAATTTGTTGTTTTTAGTCAACCAATCAGAAAGTTGGAATTCTTCAATTTTAAAAAAATACGTTTATTACTTAGCTATTTATGGTAAATATTTTGACGCTCGTTAAAACGTGCGAAGTTTGATTTAAAACAATGAAAGTCAATTCGTACAGGTCACTGGCATTAATATCCGTCAGATATTATGAAGGAGTACCTCTTTCTAACAGAAAAATGCACCGATGAGTGGATTTATCAGCTGTGTTAACTAAGGAATGAGTTTTTCATGTTTTTGGCAATGCCGAACATGCATATAACGTGAACTGTGATTCGTTGTTTCGCATCGCGACTCTGTGATGCGGCCAATCAAATGACCCATGCATATTTAATTACATACGACAATTTTTCGGCAAGTTTGCCCACGGGTGATAAGTAAAGACGAGATCACCCGTGGGTTTCCGACGATGAATTATCCCTAACAGTGCATTTTCGCATTGGTGGAACTGTAGCGTTATGGTCAAAGACAAATATATGAAACCGTAAAGCTACAGTTCTGCAGCTACCCTACAATGTGATTGTGTCCATTTTGTAAATTTGAAATACTGTTCTAAGTCGTAAGTCATACCTTAGTAATTTTTTTTTCTTTCGATTGAACTGAAAGTTTAGAAATTTTTTTGATAATATCAAATAGACAATTTAAATAAACCATAAGTAACGCCTTTGTCAGATCCCATCCTTAAGTTTGTTGTTTCATACGTATGCACCAACATTTAACATACAACGAATGAAAAGATATACAGATGAACAAAAGAAAAAAAGAAATCAATCTAAAAAATCCAAAAAAGAAGATAAATTGTGATCGGAAAAAGTATTTACAAATAAATGTTTGAAGAGGGATCAGGTGCCTATGAGGAGTAAGCATCCGTGAGTACCCCCGCCGTGAACACTCTGTATGACCAGGTAAAGGGAGAAACCCACAGTCAAAATGATGCAAAATAATAGACAAACAGCTGAAGAAAATATTAGTCAATGCACGTCCCAACGATAGTTTATATTTGTAAAACAAAAAAAAATGTTGATGAGAATGAACATCGGAGATGAAGTAAGGTGCCATGAATTAAGGAGTATGTATCCAATATCGACCGGTTACAACCGTTGTATGCTTCTTGTGATGATCGGGCAAAGAGAAAAATTCTAAGACGATTAATTGAGTGTGAAAATAATAGCCTAGTAATTTGTATGAAAATGTCATCCAACAGTCGATATAACGATAGACTGTGTTTGCTGAAAAGGTCGCTGTAGAATTTTCAGAATATAAACTTTATACGAGACTGGCTGTTCACATACTTGTTGTATCATCAACTTAATTGTCAACAGCTTCTTTCGTTTCAGAATTTTGTGTACGAGGAACACGTCGACTGGGAGACATATACTCCATATGCAGGTGGGAATAGTATATTGTTTCACAAATAAGAGGAGTTGATGATAACAAAACTGAAGTTAAGTGGATTTTTTGTGAAGATTTATGTAATTAATAGACCTTAGATCCTACAATCAAATATAGATAAAATAATGAACAGTGATCAAACATAGAAGTTTATTGAAATAATACAATTTAGAAAAAGAGCAATTCTACTTCTAATTACCGGTAAGATGAGCTCACTTTTGATCCTATATTCACTTTTCCAAAATGAATTCCTTTTGTAAAAGTGAGAATGAGACCAAAGATGGGTTCATCTCAGTTTTATGGCCCTGGAGCCAGGATCAGGTGCCATGGAGGAGTAAACATCCCCTGTCGACACGCATTGTGCTCCTGGGCATGATCGGCTGACCGAAAATGCACAACTAGATTTTTTATACCTGTTTTTTTTTTAATCAAGAAAAAACAAAATCGCCTTACATTCGGCCTTCTCGTCTCCATACCAGTCTGACAGTACTTGTTCGATAAATGAGACGATAAGTCTGTTCACAGTTGTGCCTGTATGTTACAATTCATTTTCATCTGTTGTGTTGATATTATTCTGTACGGATAAAACCGTGCTATTCGATGATTTCAATAAAATATGGTCTTGTGCCAGTCTTCACGTATGACTTATACAAGTGTGTGATAATAAGGATTAGAAATACGGAGATTATCAAGACAAAAAAAATATTGATTGTATATATTAACCCATTATGACGTTTTCTCAAGATCTATCGAAGACAATTATACTTTTAATTTAAAATGGCAAAGAAATTTTTATATCTTTGTTGTTGCATATATTCATAATAAGTATAGAACCAGGAAAGAGCATCATCTCACTGAAATTTTAAATGATTCCATCCGCTTCTAAATTTTTGTGAGCAAAAGATTTTATCAAAGGCTTAGAAAAGAAGATATAAGATTGCAAATAAAAAAGGAAAGCATTTTACGAGTGTTGTATTGTGTATATGCTTATCGTTAGTTTAATTAGAACAAAATCATCGATCTCGGATTTATAATTGAAACTTCAAGGAAAATCATGAAATATTAAAATCAATATCACAATTTTCCAATAATTCTTTCAAGTGTACAGACAAAAGTTTGACGGATTGAAGCAATTGAGTAACAGTGATTTAGAAGCATCATCGGAAGCATTTGTGTACGCTATGATTTGGATAGACGTTTTAAGAGCAGTGATGTTTTTATCAAACTGCTTATCTATTTTAGGTAAGATTACATGTGCTTTTCTTTTTTGAAAATTGAATAATGAAATCATTTTGTATGTGTGTGAATATTACAGAAAAAAAATCATCAAGTTCAAATTCACCCAATTCCTTTATAATCCTTATTTCAGATACATTTATTTTTAATTGCATCTCCTAAAATGACGAAAGTACTAGTAAGATACTAGTAAGTTTATTAAACGATGTAATGTCAAATGACAATTGCGTCTGGTTTTCAATGTGCTAAAAATGTAGGATCTATCGAGAGAATGGGGATTTCTGATTATAAGAAACAAATGTTATAACTGTCAAATCACAATAGGTCAACTGCACCTTAGATAAAATATATCAGATTTAGGGTATTCTATTTTGAATTTAGACTTTAAATCTTGAATACTATTCATTATCTCCGTATATTTCATCGTAAGAGTTCAAATTTTCTGGATACTATACTAGTATAAATTGGTAATATATATTCTGAAAATTACTTAAAAAATGTATTTTAGTAATACGCGATGAGAGAACTTTTTCCCCTAGAGTAGGGAACAAAGTACTAGTTACTTAGCACCTGCATTTGTACAGAATCATACCTCTAAAAACTGGTCTTTGACCAAAAAAGACACTGCATTTGGTATGTAATTGCGAAATTCTGATCGCATTGAAAAGCAGCTTTAAAATTTAAAAAAAAAGTTGGTCGTGCAAATATAAACAAACATGTTGTAAAAGTCACTTATTATCTCAGTACTGTATGTTTATTGACACTGAGCGCCAAATGATAAAAAACGAATATTTCACCATCAAGAACATTTCTACCTCCGTTTTCCGCCATATTGCTTTTCATTTGGCCGCTCGAAATTTTTCGGGCGATCCGGGCTACTTTCTGACCGCCCGGCGGCTTAAAAATATTTGAAACAAGTGACTTGCCGGCCTGCTTCCGGGATATTAACCGGCTTCACCCGGCTTATGAAACAAGTGCGCCCAATCTGTATTAAATAAGGAGAAGTGAATATTCATACGATACTACTTTGACAAATAGGGAGAAGCTCCTGTATACATGCAGCTTTAATTTACATATAAACGTAATAAGAATCTTTTTGGATTCAATGAATTAAGATCACCAAGTTTATTGATAACATGAAATCTACAATTTGCCATTTCCTACGAAAGCCCGTTGGTGCCACGTACGAAAAATATTTTATCTGGCGGCCGCCACTTATTACTTGGGGTATTCTATTGTGAATTTAGATTTTAAATCTTGAATACTATTCATTATCTCCGTATACTGTATACTATAGTATTTCATCGTAAGAGTTCAATTTTTCTGGATACTATTACTAGTATGAATTGGTAATATATATTCTGTAAACTAGTTAAATTTTTTTTTGTAATACTCGATGAGAGATTTTTTTCCCCTAGAGTATAGGGAACAAAGTAGCACCTGCATTTGTACAGAATCATACCTCTAAAAACTGGTCTTTGACCAAAAAAAAAAAAAAAAAAAAACTAAAACAAAACAAAACACTGCATTTGGCGAAATTCTGATTAATTTTTTGTTGTCTTTTTTTTTTTACCAATTAAACTACATGTACATTTTCAATGTTTTCTTGCAATTAAGAAAGTGCTTGGTCACAAAATAGATAGTTATTAGCAAAATTCCGATCGATTTTTTTTTTGGTCTTTTTCCCCAATTAAACTGGTCACTCCTCCATACCACCTGATCCCACCTCAGATGTTTTGGAGGTCCGTGTTTGCTCTGCTCCTATTTTGTATTGTTAAATGGATTTTTGATCTTGAATACCGTTCGTTATCTTCTTATATTATGTAATTAAACTAGGTTTTTTAACAGTGTTTTCTTGCAATTAAGAAAATGCATTCTTTTTTTTACATTTTTTATTTTGGGTCACAAAAAAAGTAAAGTACTTTCTTAATCTAAATGTGTTTTTACCAGCTGGGAAGCGATTTTTGGTGTTAGATTGATTAGACAAATGTTGATGATCGTACAGGCTGATGATCGTACAGGCTGTTGAACGATACATATATCTTTATAAAAGTTAATCGACTATACAGACAAAAATTATTGGATTCTTTTATGAACGATACAGGAAATTCCAAATACTGCTTATAGGAATTCATTTTGGCTAAACTAAGAAAGGAGAGAAATTTATTCACGAAATATTATCAGAAATTACCTACCAAAATTATATCTTTCATTAAAAACATTCCCCCGCTAAAATTTCATTTTGTAATTGGTAAACAGCTGCCCAAGGATTTACAGATTATGGTTGTCAAACAGAATCATACTTTCAATCTCATGAGTCAGGTACATGTACCTTGTAGCTTGCAACGACGCTACATGCAAATGCTGCTATCTCGTCTTGAACAGAGAAAGTCCGAAAAAATAAAATTATTTTATTTTATCTTCAAGTCTGACAAGAAAATTCAAATGATACAAAGAAATGTTTCTTGATTTTGCACAATACCTTAGGACGTTATATGATCATGTCTATAGTTCATTTCTGTGGAAAATAACAAACCAACACATTAATAATCTGTGTTATAAAGGAGAAGTGAATACTCATACGATACCACTTTGACAAATAGGGAGAACTTGCTGCGAAACCCCCAATTTTTGCTTTTTCCTTCCATACACATCTGAAATTATTTTAGGATAATTTTACCCCTACTTTGGACTTTCAGTAGGGCGTGACTTTCTCGGCGCTACGTAATGGCGAATACTAGTAGATTCTCATTGGTTACGAAATTAATAACATCAGGGACTTAAAATTGCTGTTGATAACGATGAGACGACTTATGCCCCACCTCTGTGCCGTGAGAGAACTTTTAATTGGCTATTCACTATACCAGTTGACATTCGACCGCATTTCTATCATTTGTATATTTCAACAGTGAAGGAAAACTGTGTAAATTTCAGAAGCTAATTAGGCAACGTCGAGAATGCCACGCCTTACTGAAAGTCCAAACTAAGCGTGTAATTCTTCTACTTGCCGTATGGTCATGGTGCTCAGGAATTATTTTCATACATGGCTAGAGTTTTCTTAAGGAATACCTGTTCATCATGGTAAGCTTTGATATATATAAACGTAATAAGAATCTTTTCGGATTCAATGAATTAAGATCACCAATTTTAGTGATACCATGAAATCTACAATTAGCCATTATTTCCTGAATTAACATACATGTACATTTATTCCTTATTCTAAAGGACAAATTTAAAAAAAATGTAAAAAATTTATTCATAATTTTTTTTCATTTTCAATTATATCTTTATACAACCTGAATTATACATCACAAGTACCTATTAATTTTATTTTCTCAGCTTGGAGAGAAGTGTTGATGCTTGTTCAGAAAGGCGGGGGTACTAACATTCGGGATGTTTGGATAGACAACGCAAATAGAACCCAGGTACATAGACAACGCCTTCCTCTGAGAGAGTTGATTGGACAGGGTACTTACAGGATTGACCAATCGGTAGACTCAATGTCATACGACGAGGTAATTTCATTGAGTAATGAAACTATTAAACTGAAATTTCCAACAGTCTAAAAAAAGTAAAGTAAGAACCTTCTCAAGAGCTAGGACTTTCGGATATTACTGACAAACAGCAAGATGAAGTAAATCTAACCATAACATTATAAAACAATGTTTGCGTTAATGGCATCGGTGAAATCCGATTTTTCTCGGAGCTCACTTTGACCTCGGTTCATCTTTACACGAGGAATTAATTTTTAAAAAAGAATGGCATACAAGTACTTCAAGTATTTGAATATTGATATTTATGATATTTATGAAGTACCCAGTCTAACACTATTGTAATACCAGTATACTACATAACGTCGACATCAATATTACCACATTGTGTACTGAACGTTTAAGTATTCCTTATTTAGCAATGTGAACAAGTTTGAAAAAGGAAAATTTCTTTGCAAAGTATTCAACTATTTTTAAGTTCAAAATTTTTTTAATAAAAATATAACATTTAAAAGCAAAATAATATTCTTAAATCAAAAATGCAACTCATATTGCTTTAATTTACGCAATGAATTCATATTGCTTGTTTTCACGAGAAACATCACTCACGAAATAAAATTAGTTGTATTTTACGCTCTTTGGAATCCGTGTAAAATCTCATGACCAACCCTCCAGAATAATTTGAAAAAAATAAGTAGCATATGTAAAAAATTTCATAATACTAGAAATTTATTTTCAGATTTAAAGTTTTATTTGCTAGAAATGGAGTTATATTTTCCCTTCTTATTTGAATTCAGACTAAATCTTTTTAGTTCGTCCTTATTCACCAAATTTTGTAGGTTTAAAGAAATTGAAATAAAGACAAAGGCAGACATCTATATTTATTTTATAGAAAAACAATGAAAAAAAAAAATGCAGTAAATGGTGAAAATTTCTGCAAATGACATGATATTGCTTCTTACTATACCGCAGGTACATCTTGTATTTCTTAATGCTGTGGCGGATCCCTTGTGGCGAATGGTTTTCAATAGAACAGCCGTTAGAAGTGGAAAATGGTTTGAAGAAGTGAAGAGATCGTCATCCAATATCTCCGGTTATAACTTCACAATAACAGATTCAAGGTCATTTGGTTTATTTTTGAAAGTTGAGTTTTAAATGATAATGCGAATCAGGTGGTGTATCTTGAACATGAAATGAGGCGCTTTAAGATGCAATATATGTCACGTATTTTGTTATTGTTTTAGCATTATATAGGAATGATCATGCAGGGATTTGAAGTGAGGGAAGGGAACAAATTTATCATAGATTTTTTCACAAATTCATGTCTGTTATCAATTGACTTTATTTTATATTATATATATTTACAAGTGTAATTAGAACATTTCTAGACACACTGTTTTTATTTAAGATTCTATGAAAAGATTTACAAATAGTTTAATACTTCCAGGCAACCCCCCTATCCTCTTTGCATTGGAACTGGGGGATGCATAGATCCGGCTTGGGCGGGTATTTGGAGGTCCAAGCTCACTGAGTCTCCCCTTTTCCTCTTTAATGCTGATCAACAAGTTCCGCGAATTCTTCCACAACGTAAGTACAAAATTCATTTTTACATAAATAATACAAAGTGATTGAGAATTTTGAAATTTAACAGAAAAAGACAAGAAAGAAAATTTAAAGAACAAAGTTTTCAATCGTCAACTTCCCTTACTTATGCAGCATTATACTAGTATAGGATGAAACATATGGAGATGACGAACAGTATTCCAGATCAGAAATCCATAAAACAATAGAAAACAGAAGCAGAGCAAACACGGACCTCCAAAACATCAGAGGTGGGATCAGGTGCCATTCAATTTATATTTCACAATTGATCCAATATACAAGAACATGCGCTTCATATGAACAATTTCTAAAACGAGGCGAGTAATTGAAAAATAGTTCTTGAAACAATGATATCAACAGTTCCGACTAAAGTCATCGTTTTGTAAGTTCTTTGATCAATACAATGACCTTCAGCAAATACTCTCTATAATAAAAGTCAAAAACTGACTGGCTTTTTCAAACTTATTTTCATACACGCTGAGTTGTTCGACGGATTTTTCGCGATCATGACAAGGAGCACACAGCTAGTATGATCGGGACGCAGGGGATGATCACCCGTACATGACACATGATTTCATCTCTGATGTTTAAGATGTCCGTTTTTGCTTTGCTTCTTAATTATATTGTTTGAATGGGTTTCTGAACTTGAATACTTTGTGATATCTCCATACATTCCATACAGCTTTGTGATAACGCACTTTGAAAACATTTCAAAGTGCATTTAATTTGGGACAAAATTAAAACAATTTGATTTTTTTTTTCAAAGTGTGTTAAGTGTGTACATCATTTTTTTTTTACCAAGAAAACACATAACGCACTTTAAAAGAATACATAACAAATAGTCTGGTCTAAGATTATCGTAATAGACAGCATCATTTTGTTATTGCCCAAGACAACCCGAAAATCCTTTACAAAGGCTACCTCAAATCCTGAAGTGACGTCATCAGCGTAAAATTATCAAACCAGGTTCAAGTGATTAGAATATAAACCAAGGTGCAAGCTGAGCACATTTTTTTCAAAACGTGTAAAAATAGTGGAAATTAACGCAATTAAATTTGATAGGAAATTTCTATTTTTTAAAGTGCGTTAACTTGGTTCTAAATTCAACGCACATTGATTTTTTTTCAGTTTTGTTCCCTAAGAAGACAATGTATTTATGCTAAAAAAATCATTGAAACTTCCATTGAAACAATGCAGATCAAATATAAACAAGAAACATATTGACGCAAGCGTCAAAAATCGGCCGCAAATCAATTTATATAACTGTTGAAATTATTTTAGAACCTGAAATTCGCTGATTTAAAAAAAAAATTCTTATATTTTTCTGTTAAAATATCCTCGTAACACGGAAAAAAAATGCATGCGACAATGCCGATTTTATTCATGAATAATGCATGTACAATATTACATGTATAGGCAATATAAACTGTGCATAGTCCTCTGCGTCTCTGCACTCAGTTTGATACAACTTAACGATCGAACTCAAGTTGTGAGTTTGCTGTTTAAGTAGTTTTTACATAAAACGTACGAAACTAAAGTTTAAACTTAGCTATAGTTTTAACTTAATAAAAACGCAACAAATATATAATATGTGGGGCTCCTAGCTCTCTCTCTTAGAGGATGTTAAACCCCCCCCCCCCCCCCGAACGCCTTCTAGATCCACCACTACATTACTTCTCTTTCAATCTCTTTGTTTTGGTGTTGAGATGTGGCGGGAAAGTGTTTGGCACATTGTAAAACGCGCTCTATCCTAGTCTCCTAGACGAACATGTCGTAATATTCTTTGCTTTTAAGAAATCAATATTTCATCATATTTTTGAAAAACATCTATAGGAAATGTTTAAATATACACTTCATTTCAAATAAATACAGCAGATCCTGTTTTAAAAAGAGAAAGTAATATTGTTGATTTACAACGCCGTCTTTGTTTTAGACTATGCCTAACACTCGTACCAATTTTCTCCGCACTTCAGTTAAATCAGAGTTTGTCAATCAGGATTGGATGAAATATTTACCCCATTATTTATAAAATTTAATTTTACGATTATTTTGCTTTTTCTAAACGTGTAGACAATCTTTGTTTAATGTTGACTCGCCAGCGATATGAACATGATGAATGTTGAATATTTTTATTTAAATTGTTAACTCCGCAGAAACGCACAGCGACTTAAAACTTTCATATCATATAACCGACCGCCTCCTGACGGCCGGTAATCATCAGTCAGATTAGGTGCCATTGAGGGAAAACAGCCCTTTCTCCACCCTTCTTGTGCTTTTTTTCAGATCGGGTAATCGGGAAAATAGTGGCCTGATGATGAGAAACATCATTTGCTGACAAAGAACATTATATTCACTATAGAATTTAGAAAATGTTGACTTTAAACGAGATTATGTGTATCATTTGTTTCATCAACTTTTTGTCAGCAGAGTTCCACGTTTCAGAAATTGTTCTTACGTAGAGTATGCTCTTGTGTATCGAATAAACTGGGATAAATGAACTCCATATGTAGGTGATAATGGTATATTGCTATACTTTAAGAATGGAAATTGGCGATTAAACTTTCTATATAACTTTGACCTACTACGAACCTTTACGCCCCATTATTTTTTTCAGAATCTTTTCCCATATACTAGTATACTTTTTTCTTGGGGAATAGGGTATTAACTACTACGGAAATCACGGAGGTCATTTAATATCCCAAATAAGACTTGTTTGATGACACAACTTATAAAACTTTTATGATTGTTTGATGTGAAAAAAATATTTGGCACCTTCAAAAACATATCTTCATAATGAATAAAATCATTCTTCACGCTGAGATTGTTCTTAAGGAATATATTAACATATCTAGGCATAATCCCTGTGTTGAAATTCTGCTGGGCTAGATATTTGGACTGACGCCGTCGCAGAATCCCTGGACAGTCACTCATAATTCATGTCTGGAGATTGAGTCCCAACTTCGGTCGACTATAGCAAGATTTATTCACCTAGACCACACTGCCGTTCGCTTCCATTTAGTCACTTAGTTGTTTATTTGACTGTCTGTCACTATTATTTCTATAGTTCCTATAGTCTGTTTTTACCCTATGTGATGTTTAATAGCCACAGTAGACTTGGTTCAGAATCACATAGGGTAAAAACAAACTATAGGAACTCTTTTATTCGAGGAGGTAAACAACAATTTCGTCACGGGAGCCATATTTCGAACGGAGATTTCAGTGAATATTTTATTTTGGGATTTACATGCCTAAACGGTAAGCTATGTAGAAATAAAAGTGACAGAGAGCCAAATAAACAACTAAATGAAGTGAATGGCAGTGTTGTCTAGGTGAATAATTCTTGCTATAGTCTACCGAAGTTGGGACTTAATCTCCAGACATGAATTATGAGTGACTGTCCAGGGATTCTGCGACGGCGTCAGTCCAGATATCTAGCCCAGCAGAAAAATATCTAAATACGAATAGTATCAGCTTCTTTCAAACCTCAGAGATCCCCTTTCAGAGTAAAATTGATCGCTGGTCTCAAGTCCTATTATAATGAAAGCAACAGCATATTTTCCTTCGAAATAGACCATCACCTTATTAACAATAATTGCTATTGCCATGCAATTTCATTGTGGAGGACAATTTTCAGAGCATTCATCAAAGCAGCTTAATGTGTGTATTTTCTGTTATTGGAAATATTAAAATCACAGTTTTATAAAAATTATAAAAATAACTCATGCAACAAAGGAATTAGTCTTATTCCAGGTCAAATTTCACAAATTTTCTGGATTGTTCGTGAGAGATTTTTTAGGGTAGAAGCTTGATTTCAGGTGCTCTGTTTCTTATTGTGTGTTTTTCTGCCTCTGTTTAAATAATTATAAAAAGAGACTTGCAATCTTGGATTCCAGGGGTGCCTCGTTTCACACTTTCCTACTAGTGTCGGATTAGATCTAGCTTCTAAATGCTTGAAACTCTTGATTTGCACATACCGTAAACCCAAACGTTCTCGATACACTGAAAATGACCGAAATCAAATGAAGTGATGGTTTCTAATCTTGTATATGGTGTAGAGGCGTCTCCGAATGCATGGAAATTCTTGTTTTTGGAATTCTCTATAATTAATAAATTGTAAAATGGAGGGATGAGGTCAATTGACAATCCTTTAAAAAACTTACTTGAAAGTTTCATTCTATGGCTCAGATTAGAATTGACTCGTAGCTGTACAAGAAGGACAGCATCAAAACAAAAGTTATTTAAAGATAGTCAACGTTTATTGGACAATTGTATGTTGTTTAACGTCCCTCTCGAGAAGTTTTCACTCATATGGAGACACCAATATTTGCCGGTGGAGAACTGCAAATTTTGTCCTTTACTCGACAGTGAGCACCATTGAGCAGGGAGGGATCTTTCTCGTGCCAGCACATGTTTGACACGGGACCTCGGTTTATGCGGTGTCATCCGAAGGACCGGTCTCGACGTCCCACAGTGGGATTAGAACCCGCGGCGTAAGGATTAAATTCCCTCCTCCGCGACTCTAGACCTGGGGGCCATAAAACTTAGACAAGCTCACTTTTGATTTCAGTCTCACTTTTTCCAAAGGAACTAATAGCGGAAAAGTGAGACTGAGATCAAAAGTGAGCTCGTCTAAGCTTTACATGGCCCCCAGGCCAGACGCTCTAACCACTGTGCCACGCGGGCGACGATAGTCAACGCTAAATTGGTCTTCATGAAATGCAAACGCACCTTTCTCATTATAAATCTTCCATAACATTACCTCCAGGGGTATGATGGGGCCACAGAAGGGAATTCATAATTTAATTGCAAGCTATAAATGAATGCGAAAAAAATCAAATTGTACTCATCAAAAGCCCGTCACAGTTAGTAAAAAAATCTCTAGAAGTCCTACTGATAATTTTTTCGACCCCCAATATATATGTACTAGTAGTCAATCGTCAAAAGTAACAAACTTGTAATTTAAAATCTGAGCTATGACTCGATAACTTCAAGATATTTCCTTTAACAGCCACACGGGAGGCCACTTATATTGGCTGTGAATCAAAGGAGATATTTACCATGGAATACCAATATGAAACCAAGAATATCCGGGATTGTCAGGAAACATGTACAAAATTCCAGTACATGTTAATGCAGGTAAGTATCTCGTAAAAAAGAGCTTTGATCGATGTCATTTTTCTCAAATTTTGCTCAGTTGACTCTATTTTACTTTAGTAATAAAGTTTATATGATTTTTTTTTAATTTCATAAATGTAATTAAAATAGACCAATGCACTTTTTATAGAATTTTTTTTAAAAATTGTCCCAAATATTTCAAAAGATCAAAAAATCAGAGTCCAAAGTATAGTCCAAGGAGTTGTTTAAGAAAGTGTTTCAAAAGAAATCCAAAGAAAGTACAGGTACTTTGAGCAATGATCTCACTAATTGATACCCTCCGACTCTTTTATGATTATAATGGCAAAGTTCATATTTTGCTCTAGGAGACCCGAAATAAGTGTTAGCTCAAAAAGTACAATGTAAAATAGGAGGTGCATAATGATATAATGTAATTACGCTTTGGGTACCCATCTCTTATCCACAACTCATCTTTTACCACTGATTGATATTTAATGAAACTTTTACAGAATCTTTGTTACATAAAGCCATTGTGCATCTCTTATTTTAATTTTTGATCAGACACATACATGTACTTTCGGTTTTCCTTCTATACCGCTATATAAAGAAGATGGGGGATATGGCGGACGAAGTGCCTATGGTGCGACAAACATGAAGTGAAAAATTAAATCTCAATTACATGTATATACAAATTCTTTGATATTTCATCTACTATTAACGTATACCTAATGTAAAATATCTATAATTTACAAAAATTTCAAAAATACTGATATTATTTACCTCTGAAAAGCATACACACACTAAAAAGAACAAAAAAGATCAATTTCTAATACTTTTATATTTTTGTAAAAGATTTTTTTTTAAAAATGAATGTTTTCTGATGTGAAATGATCGTGAGGCGTTTCCTTTTCTTTTTCTGTAATCAGTCATAACTTTTAACATGTATAACATTCCGAAAATCAGATTGTCTCATAAAATTCTTAAAAACGATTATAAAAAAAAAAAAAAAAAGTATTGGTCAAAGTTAAAGTATTTTCATAAGTACCTTAATCTTTAAGGTCAAGGTCAAAAGGTCAAAGTTGTTGATATCCAATGAAAGGACTTGCCACAAAGAATACATATGTGAAATATAAAAGTCCTAGTATCTACCGCTCAAAAGTTGTGACCAAAGTTAAATTTTTTAAAAAGTAGTTAAAACTCCAATGTCAAGGTCAAAGGGTAAAAGTTATTGGTATTTAATGAAAGGTCTTCTCAAAAAGATTACATATGTGAAGTACGAAAGCCCTAGCCCTCACCGTTCAAAAGTTATGGTCAATGTTAAAGTTTTTTCATAAGTATGTAAATCTCCAAGGTCAAGGTCAAAAGGTCAAGGTTGTTGGTATCCAAAGAAATGTCTTGCAATAAGGAATACATATGTGAAATATAAAAGTCTTAGTATCTACTGTTTAAAAGTTGTGACCAAGGTTAATGTTTTTAAAAAGTAGTTAAATCTCCAAGGTCAAGGTCAAAGGGTAAAATATCTTGGTATCCAATAAAAGGGCTTTTCACAAGGATTACATATGTGAAGTACGAAAGCCTTAGTCTTAATCGTTCAAAGGTTAACGTCAAGGTTAACGTTTTTTCATAAGTACGTAAATCTCCAAGGTCAAGGTCAAAAGGTCAAAGTTGTTGGTATCCAATGAAAGGTCTTGCCACAAACAATATATTCGTGAAATATGAAAGTCCTAGTACCTTCCATTCAAAAGTTATGGCCAAAGTAAAAGTTTGAAATTTCTGTGTAAAAGTGGGTCAAACTCCAAGGTCAAGGTCAAAAGGTCAAATTTGGTGGTACCCAAAGAAAGGTCTTGTCACATGGAATACACATGTGAAATATGAAAGTCATAGCTCTACTAAATCAAAAGTTATGGGCAAGGTTAAAGTTTTTGTGACGGACAGACTGACAGACTGACAGACTGACAGACTGACAGACTGACAGACTGACGGACAGACGAATGAGATTTAATGTCCCCTCGCTTTTGCGAAAGCGGGGGACAATAAAAAATATGATAAATATAAATCGTTTTGCTGTTGCTACCCCAGTATATATATTTATAACAGATGGGATACAAATGTAACTGTGGAACAGTAAGGTCCGGAATAACTTTCAGTACCAATTCCTATAGTCACACTAAATGTGAGAAATATTGTCCGGACTCAAACGACAGGTGTGGCAGTCAGGATTCCACAATTGTAGCAGTCTACGAGATACTGGGTTTGTTGTCATTTATTAAGTTTACATGTTAAAAATTTTTTAGCCTTCAATATGATGAACATGATTCACTTTTTTGTCCTTTTTAAGCAGTCTACATGATAAAAGTTTTGGTTTGTTTTGGTACAATCTTCACGATAAAGACTTTAGGGTTTTTTTTTTGTTAGTAAAAGCTACCTAACAAAGGTTTTATTGTGTTTTGGTACAAGATACATGATAAATATTTTTTATATCTGTTTATATCATTTTAATAAATTTTTTTAATCTACAAGAATATGTTGTTTCAATGTACTTTTTAGATATTTTGCTATTTGAATTTTGTACATTACATTTAGAGCGTTTGTTTATTATTTGGAACGATCCCAATTCATAAAATTTTTGTATAGTTATTAACATGCGTAGGTTTGTCTCCTTATGTAAAAGCCTACGCAATTTAGTGATAGAGGTGTGTTATAGATCTGAGGGCACAATCAAAATGATAGGTTTGCTACAGTATCTGAGGGCACAATCAAAATGATAGGCTTGTTATCTGAGGGCACAGTCAAAATGATAGGTTTGCTATCTGAGGGCACAATCAAAATGATAGGTTTGTTATCTGAGGGCACAGTCAAAATGATAGGTTTGCTATCTGAGGGCACAATCAAAATGATAGGTTTGCTATCTGAGGGCACAGTCAAAATGATAGGTTTGTTATCTGGGGGCACAATCAAAATGATAGGTTTGTTATCTGAGGGCACAATCAAAATGATAGGTTTGCTATCTGAGGGCACAATCAAAATGATAGGTTTGATATCTGAGGGCACAGTCAAAATGATAGGTTTGCTATCTGAGGGCACAATCAAAATGATAGGTTTGCTATCTGAGGGCACAGTCAAAATGATAGGTTTGTTATCTGGGGGCACAATCAAAATGATAGGTTTGTTATCTGAGGGCACAGTCAAAATGATAGGTTTGCTATCTGAGGGCACAATCTAAATGATAGGTTTGTTATCGGAGGGCACAATCTAAATGATAGAGGTTATTTTGTCTATTGCACACTCGTTATGATTTAGTTTTTACTGCATGATGTTTGTAGCCTAAATTTAGAACATACTGTATGTTTATTATTTGGTACAATCCATATGATAGAGGATTTGTAGTCATTTGTAGCCGTCGAAATGATTGAGTTTTTATATTTGTTGGTGTTGGTCTATATACAGAATTATGTATCTAAGTGTTCTACTTGTTTGCCAAGTTATATTGAAATCAGACCAAAACTGTAGGAGGAGTAGCATTTTGAAAGTATCTCACAGAAATTTCTATTTTTTTGTAACCACGGCAACACCGTTCATTGAAATCTGAAATGGATAATACACAGAATTATGTATCTTCTCGTATTCTACTTGTGTGCCAAGTTATATTGAAATCAGACCAAAACTGTAGGAGCAGTAGCATTTTGAAAAATTGTTTACAGACAGACGGACGGACTCTGGACGCATTACTATCGCATAAGCTCTTCTGGTCTCGGACCAGTAAGCTAATAATTTTAAAAAAAACTAACTCAAAATTTATCTTAAATATTTATATTTTTTACATAAACATAGAAAAGGAACCGCAAAATCTTGGAGAAATTCCGTGTTCTGTGTATCCTGCTAAACATACGGTGACAGATGGGGAAATATTGGTATGTAAAATTGAAGACCTAAGGATCTCATTTGTATTGTACAGATGTATGTTGTTGCATGTCGTTTTAACAATTTATTATATATGTTTTTTGTTCTAAAGATACTCCTATTAGAAAAGATCAGTAACTAGTAACTAAACTATTTTTAATTTTATCTATTGTGAAGAAATTACACGCATGATTAAATTTTTTTAATCAAAAGAATGAGGTGAATTACAAAATCATTTATTATTCGTAAATAATTATTTTGCAGATCTCTAAAGAGAATATATCCCACGATTCTTCGCGTTATTTCTATCTTAAAGGACACGAAATTGCAACCGATTTATTATCTTGGGCAACAGCCAGAACTTACTCAATGTATTATACTGTAAATCACTTTTTATTCGCGAGAACTTTATTTTCGCGTAATTACGCGAGACAATGTGCTCGCGAAAATTAAATTCTCGCGTATAATAGTATTCCTTAAGATAATATAGAGCAATAACCACAATTCGTGAAAATTTTGTCTCGCTATTCAAGATTCAAGATCTCGCGAAAATAAGGTGTCGCGAAAATTTTGTGATCTACAGTAACTTGGAAGACTGTGACAGTGGAACTCGAAAACCTTATACAAATATAAGTGAAACAAAGATGGTATATTGAAATCTCTCTCTCTCTCTCTCTGAATAAAGAATACAAGATAATATTTGAAAAAAAATCAGAAAAAAATTCTTTTAAATATCTTCGATAGAGGGTAAAATTATGCATATAGTAAAATTTTCTGAACTTTTTGAACTCCGCCAATTTATTGAACGATGTAAATTTCTTTTTTATCAAAAGTTAATATGTACTTTTTCACCTTGATGGTGAAACTATATCATTTCAAGCATCGTTTTAAAAGTGCAGTGACATTGCTTACAGTAAAGGGAACTTCAATCGCCTTTCTCATACCCCCTGTTATTGGCCAACGAACAAAGAGTGGTGTTTTTTTTTTTATATCAAACATCGGCCAATAAACAAAGAAAGTTTTTAATCAAACATCGACCAATGACTAAAGAATTTGTTTTTTTACTCAAACATCGGCAAATGACCAAAGAAAAGTCTTCTTTATCAAACAGACAGTACAATGATTGTGTTCACTTTGGTGTCACTTTCTGTATATCCTTTAGAAATATGAGTACGGCAAATATTGGAACACGGCTCTGATCAAGGCTGTATGTGTATGGTTTATACCTAATCAACAAATTGGTGTCCTGAATTTCAAGGTGAACATTCAAGTCTGCACTCCTACATCAGGTAAAATGTTGCTCTAATACTGATGTACTGTTCCCTCCAAGGATTTGTTACCCAAAGTGTACACTGTAACAGAATATGCACTCAAATCTTTCCTAATTAGGGATAATTTACGTAACTTTTAACATCATTACATCCCAAAATGTAGTTAAGTTCAAGAAACCAAAAGAAAAATGAAGTTAACGTTTTTGACTTATTAATTAATATTAATAATAATTAATATTAATTTAAAAATATAATAAAACCGAGTATTTCAATAGCAATGTTGCATGCACTTTTACAAGTTGTTAAGATATACCTTTACTCAGATGACTAAAACTTCCACTGATTAAAAAAAACGAAAAACCACCTATTACACATTGAGCACCTATAATTTTGGTGTTAAATTTCAATTTCAAATTACTAAGTCAATGACCTACTTTTCATGCTAGTGGCCCCTGAGTATTTCTCGGGAAATACCTCAGTTTTTCACACTATGACCAATTTTTTCTTCACTCACAAAATATTACAAGCAACAAAACTCTTTAAATACTGAAATATAATAGCAATGGAATAGCGTTGCTTCAAATAAAGAAACGATTAGAGTTTTGACCACAAACTTGATAATTATTACAGTCCGGATTTCCTCTCATATTTATATTTTTCCCCATTCTTAATCGAATATTACAAAAATCTGAATGATAAAAACTCTAAATTAATTAAAGCTTCAGGTTACTTTTGTTGCCCTAATTCTCATGGCATTAACATTATATGGGGTCAATGATCCCATTATTGAGATATGTTGTCTGGAGTGGTTTTTGTTCATATTTCTGATTTTCCTTATTTTATAGCATTCAATTATTTGAAATAATTTATGAACTTAAACACATAATATTTGCAAAACGATTTTTAAAAATACATGTAATCTTTACATTTGATTAATATTGCAAGAAATAGAAGATTTTGACAAAAATTAAAAATTTAGTCCCTATTTCCGCTACATTACTATACATTGACTTTTGTTCCTGTATATTTTCTTCAGATAATAGAATATTATTTTTTTGAATTAATATCGAGTTAAAACTTTGATTTCTGATTTAACATTATACTTTTGTTTATTAAAGCTTATACACGTAAAATAGTTCTTCCATCGCAAATATGAACAACAGAAGTTTATTAATGTTATTTTTTTCTGTCATTGAAATAGTTATTTACAGTTTTGCAACAAAAAATTCCGACATAAAAGTTGCAGCTCATATTGCTATAATTGTTCGTTATTTTCAGATATCTGGAAAATGAAATAATTAAAGTTTTGTTTTAGGGCAATACTTCTTTCCTGCTGATTATCTCGCTGTTATTGGGGTCAATCATACAAAGCCAGATAGCAACGCAGAGATGTCTACTACGGAACAGGGGGTAACAACATTAGGAACCTTTACTAACAATAACCAACAGGTCGAAGGTAAAACTGATGGACAGCGTCGGACACATTTGTTTCATACTAGGTTATTTTACTTGAAGAAAAAAAAACGTTAATGGTAATCTAACAACCAAACTTTATGATATAAACGTGATTACTTTAACTTTTCTATCGTCAACTTCCCCTACTTGTGAAGCAATATACCTTCATCACCTGCATACGGACTTTATATCTCTCAGTAGATTCGAAACGCAGGAGCATGCTCTACGTATGAACAATTTCTAAAACGAGGTAACAAGAATATCAGCAATCTCGTTTAAAGTCATTTTTCGTAAGTTCTTTGGTCGATACAATGACTTTGTCAGCAAATACAATTTACTTTTATCAGTAAATTGTATCATTGAGTCAAATGCTGACTGACGTTTTTCATACCAATTGTTAGTCCATTGTTTACACACTGGATTGACGACGGATTTTCCCGTCATTTCCCGATTATGACAAGGAGCAAACGACAGGTGACCAGTCGGCAGGGGATGCTCACTCCTCCATGGCACCTGATCCCACCCCTGATGTTTTGGAGGTCCTTGTTTGATCTGCTCCCATTTTGAATTGTTTTATGGACTTTGATATTGAGTACTGTTCGTTATCTCCATATTCTTCGTGCAGGATCCGGAAATATAGCTGTAACAGTGGTAAATAGTATAACTGAGGAAACAGATTTAACAGGTTCAGGAACTTCATCAACACTTGAAACAGAGTCAACAGACAAGCAATGGATACAACATACTTCACCAATACTTGATACAGAGTCAACATACAACCAGTGGATACAACAGACAACCCCAAAACAGTTGGGTAACGACGTCAATGTGACCGACTATGCTGAAAGCATCACAGACGTCACTACCCACGTGAAGCAGATTGGTAATAATAATAATGTGTCTCAATCACATCCTCTGTGTCCGTGTGTGTGTGAAGAAAATGGGCTAAATTTAACGAAAGAAGAACTACAAGAAAAGATAGAAAAGATTGAAAGCATTCTGAGAGTTAATAAAAAAGAACTATCCTCAAGCTATCGGAAACTAACCAGTGCACCCGACGGGCGCCCTTCATCGAAAGGTATCGGGGCGAGCGGAATCGTTGTGATGCTTAGTTTTGTGGGAGTGATTATTTTAATGGACTTAAGTAACCTCCAAGGGTTAGTGAAATTTTGGTCTTCGCTAGGAAATCGGAAGAAGTGAAAGTGCATATGTAATGTAGTGAAGAAATCAGTTGAGCAACTGTTAATAACAACAAGCAAAAAAAATAAATTGTTTCTGATTGAAAAATTGATTAAATTCTTACCCGTTGTTATTTTACTTTTTAATAAGAAATTGAATCATTTTTTTTTAAATTTGCCAGTGAATTTCTTTTTTATAGAATGGATTTTAGAGATTTGCAACACAAAAGATATTACTAATTGCAATGGACTCAATCGCATAAAAGAGAAAGCGACGGAACACATTTTTTTCGTTAAACGTATGCGAAAGTCGTGTCCTGTCGCATTTAGAGGCTCTTTCACCCATTACATGAAGCATTTAAAATGTGCAGAAACCGAACGATAACAAGATATATACGGTGCAAGCAACTGTCACTTAAGGACGTATACACTCTTTCAGTAAAGCGCGTGTATCGTTGAAGTCAAATGCTTAAAGAAATGGAAAAAAACAGTTTTCGAACATTTAAGTAACCTGTCAGTAATTTGGTCAGTGTTGAGAGCATGTCTAGTTTATCTGTTTCAGGAAGCTGTAATGCATTAGTCACATTTCCCGGCCGGATACCGTAGACCGGTGGTAATCCGTGGTTTGAGCGATGCCCCAACATCGGTCTACATTGGCCTAGTATTCCCTGAAGTATCAGTCACATTATCCAGCAATGGGGTATACGTTTTTTGATAAAAATTGCGTGGTTGCCAGACAGACAAACAAAGACCCAGCGATGCATTGGTAATCATAAAACGATGTTCCAGGGTAATTGGCCGATGTATATAACATCCCTCATACATTGATGAACATCGTTCGTACATTGGTCGACTATGAGCCCAATGTTTGGTCGGACATCGACCGATGATCGGCCGATGTCTGTTGCCCACCACTCAACCCCCTGATGATCTCAGATTCAACGGACACTTGACGGTGCTCGGCCATACATCGGCCAATCCTTGAAAGATGTGTTTATAATGGGTTGCCGATGAAGAGCGATGTGGGTCATCGGTGGAGACATCGCAGATTTTTAACTAAAACTTATTTTCTACCGATGACCCCCACCGATTCGAGAAATAGCCCCAGTCACTGTCCGATTACTATAGGTGTCCGGCAAGCAACAACGACTGATACTTATGCCTTGGTCATATTTCCCGGCCGGTGGCCGTAGACGAGTGGTAATCGGTGGTAATTCGTGGTGTAAGCGATGCCATAACATCGGTCTACATTGGCCTAGTGTCCTTAAAGTATCAGTCACATTATCCAGCGATGAGGTATACGATGGGCAACCGATTCGTTTTTTGATAAAAATGACTTGGTTGCCGGCCGGACTTACAAAGGCTCAGTGATGCATTGCTAATCATAAAACGATGTTTTAGGGTAATTGGCCGATGTATATTACATCGCTCGTACATTGGTGAGCATCGTTCGTACGTCCATCAACTATGAGCCAATGTTTGGTCGAACATCGACCCATGATTGTTGCCACCACTCAACCCCCCGATGACCTCAGATTCAACGGACACTTGACAATGCCCGGCCATACATCGGCCAATCCTTGAAAGATGTGTTAATGATGAGTTGCCGATGAGGAGCGATGTGAGGCATCGGTGGAGACATCGCAGATTTTTAACTACAACTTATTTTCTACCGATGACCCCCACCGATTCGCCAAATGGCCTCAGTCACCGTTCGATTACTATAGGTGTCCGGCCGGCAACCACGCCATTTTTATCAAACAAGAGGTCCATGGGCCACATCGCTCACCTGAGAAGCTTTGACCATACTATTCTTAACCAGATTTTTCCCTTGTGACCTATTGTGACCCCATCGTAACCCACAGGTCAAAATTTGGATGATTTAAAATCTACACTACCCCAGGGGCCCGTTTTATAAAGGGACCAAATTTTTCTTCGTAAATTTTTTAATAAACATTATGTTAAAAGTAAAAGGAATGTGGTATTATATTTTTACACAACAATTTTCAAAGAGAAATATTAATTTTGCAAAATATTACAACAATCTAAAGTTTTTGGTCTTAGCCGTAAGTTCTTTTGTAAAACGGGCTTCTTCCACATAAATTTCAGCTTTATGGCCCAGTAGTTCTTGAGAAGAAGATTTTTAGAGATTCTTCCTATATATTTCGATGTAAAACTTTGATTCCCTATTGCGGTCCCACCCAACCCCCGGGGATCATGATGTGAACAATTTAGAATCCTCACTACCCCAGGATACTTCTACATAAGTTTCAGCTTTTCTTGCCCAGTGGTTCTTGAGAAGAAAATTTTTTGATGACCCACCCTATTTTTGTCTTTTCTTGATTATCTCCCTTTGTGAGAGGACCTTAATTTTTACAATTTAAATTCCCCTTAACCCAAGGATACTTTGTATCAAGTTTGGTTAAAATTGGACAAGTGGTTCTTGTCGAAAATGTGAAAAGTTTACAGACGGACGGACGACGGACAAAATGTGATCAGAAAAGCTCACTTGGGCTTTGGGCTCAGGTGAGCTAAAAACGCATCGGTTTCTCATCGTATACCCCATTGCTGGATAATGTGACTGTTACTAAACCTAACGGACGTCAACAGATTTGTAAACAAAACTGTCTTGCACAGAGGAAGCGCAAGAATTTCTCAAAAATGGATAATTTTAAAACAATGAATTGTAGCGCATGAATTAAAAAAAATGGAGAGTGGCGCCTGAATTTCAAAAGAAATGAATACTCAAGCTGTTAAGTATCAGTCACATTATCCAGCGATGTGGTAAACGATGAGAAACCGATGCGTTTTTTGATGAAATGGCGTAGTTGCCGGTAGGACACTAATAGTAATCGGAGGGTAACTGAATTCATAGGCGATGCATCGGTGGGGGTCATCGGAAGAAAATAAGTTGTAGTTAAAATTCAGCCATGTCTTAACCGATGTCACATATAGCTTCTCATCGGCAACCCACCATTAACACATCTTTCAAGGATCGGCCGATGCATGGCCGAGCATCATCCAATGTCCGTTAATATCATAGGTCGTCGGACGGTGAGTGGTGGGCAACAGACATCGGTCGATCATCGGTCGGTGTTCGACCAAACAGCCAATAGTCGACCATTGTACGACAGATGTACGTACGATGTTCACCAATGTGTAAGCGTTATCGTCCGAGCATTGTAAGATGATAGGTGGAAATTATACGATGTCTGATCGGTAATCGATGCCAGGCATGTCAAAAATGATATCCTCTGGAGTCGCTCGCTGTACAATCATCGGCGGGGGTATGTCTGTTGCTGTGAGAGGTGTTACAGACTACTTGGCCGATTGGGCATCGCGCACACCACCGATTACTACCGTTACCACCGGTCTACGGCCATCGGCCGGGAAATGTGACTGAAGCTTTTCCGTTCTTTAAACGGATCTCCCAAATTAGACACAATCGTTCAGTGGTTTTTTAGGTCACCTGAGTAACTCAGGTGACCTATTGCTATCCGTTTTCGTCCGTCGTCGTCCGTCGTGCGTCAACATTTGAACATTTTCAGCTTTTTCTCTGAAACCACTGAACCAATTTCAACCAATTTTGGTATACAGCATCTATGGGTAAAGGGAAACACAAATTGTGAATTTTGTGGTCCCCGCCCCCCTGGGGCCTGAGGAGTGGGGCCAAAACCACCAAAATTACAGCAATCTTTAAAAATCTTCTTCTTTACTCCTGGACATCAAGCAGGCAAACTGTTGGCATGAATGTAATGAGCATTGAGTCCTCTACCAAAATTGTGAAATTCATGGCCCGAGGATCAGGGGTTTTTGTGCTAGGCCGGGGCTATATAGATTATATAGTGAAAATGCATTATTTCTTTGAAAATCTTGTTCTCTGCTCTTGGGTATTAAGTAAACTAACTAATTACATAGTTATGTTGAGCAAGAGTACCACTTCCAAAATTGTGAATTTTATGGCCTCAGGGTCAGGGGTTCTGGTGTTAGGGCGGGGCTCTATTGATCATAAAGTGAAAATGCATTAATTCTTTGAAAATCTTCTTCTCTGCTTCTAAGTAACAAATAAACTAACTAAGTACATGGTTATGATGAGAAAGTGTGTTTCTTCTAAAATTGGGAATTTTATGGCCCCAGGGTCAGGGGTTCTGGTGTTAGGATGGGGCTCTATTGATTATATAGTGACAATGCATTTATTCTTTGAAAATCTTCTTCTCTGCTTCTGGGTATTAAATAAACTAACTAAGCACATAACTAAGCACATAGTTATGATGATCAAGAGTGCCTCTACCAAAATTATGAATTTTATGGCCCCAGGGTCAGGGGTTCTGGTGTTAGGATGGGGCTCTATTGATTATATAGTGAAAATACATTAATTCTTTGAAAATCTTTCCTTTGCTCCTGGGTTTTATGCCAATGATCCAAGAATATATATTTATGATGAAGAAAGGTGCATCTAGCAAAATGTATTTTTATGTCCCCCTCCTGGGTCAGGGGTGGGGGTGGGGGGTACATATTCTGAAAATAAATTAATGCTTCGAAACCTGCTCTTTGGTATTAATGAACCATTTTATGATAAAATTTTCAAAATTTTGAAATATGTGGCCCCAAGGTCAGTGGTTCCTTTGGAATGATGTGCACAACTGGTTATAAAGTGGAAGAGCATTTTCTCTTTGTTACTCTGATCTACCTTTGGGTATTAAGTAAATAGAGTAAGCATGCTAAGTCTATAATTATGATAAGCAATGGTGCCTCTTTCAAAATTGTGAATTGCGAATTTCATGGCCTCTGGTTTAAAACACAAACCAAATTTAATTGTTTGAAAGTTGTTGCACAATACTCAGGTGACCTATAAAGCCCGTGGGCTTCTTGTTTATTCTACACTTCCCCGTTTTAGCATAATCTTAACTCACTGGATAAAACGAACTTCACTTGACTTCTTAGGAAACTGAACGTATTCACCGAATAAATAATGGACAAGAAACGTATCCAACTGGAAATGAACGGATTGAAAAAATAATATCCCTGTAAAAACCTCTGACATTTTGATAAATAACACTTTTTCCACCAGTGATCTTACTCGACAGAGCCTCTATACAAACTTCAGAAAATCTGAACTGAAAATCTAATGTTGTCTATGGAATAGAATGTAATCTGTGTGGACATGTTTATGTTGGTGAAACCAATGGATCACTTAATAAAAAATATCAGATAATGGATTTCAAATAAATCAGCAGCTTTTATACAAACATTTCAATTTATCTGATCATTCTATTTTGACAATGAAAGTTAGAATTCTCGAAAAGTTTTATCACCACACAAACACTCCTTCACTGAGAACACCTTTCAGTAGACAACGAAAAGAATTTTGGATTAGAAAACTAGGGGTAGCCTTTACCTATGGATGTAATGACAATGTCGATAGTGTTGGAAATCTTTCCAGTAACAATGTAACAATGTTAATGTGATGTGACTTTTTAACCTTATACAGAGACGTAATTTATATGGGGGTCAATTACTTATGCTTCTTTGCTAATCCAAAGAATAGAAATTGTTTCTTTACATTTTTTTTAAACTAACACCTTCCCTTGTTGACCAGCCACGCCCGCCTTCTGTGTTGATCAGGGAAACGGGGGTATTTTGTGGCTGAAGGAGTAAATAACAATAGCCTAAATACATGTACTATAAAGCAACTTTAATTCGCGCGCGAGAAATATCCGCAAGTTTCGCGACCTACTTTAATTTGTGAATATATATCGCTGCAAACCTTTTTTATATTGGAAAAGAACGTTTTCTCAGTCGCCAAAATTAATCGTCGCGAAATGATTTCAAATTGACGAATTGCGAATAAAAGAGAACGCGAGAAATATTTTGTTTACAGTGATAGTATGAAAAATGTCAGCAGAAATACGGCCCAACGATATGTTTTATTTACAAACGATGTCACTGTTATTGTAATGACTACCGTAAATCTGGAAAATTTTGCTGTAGATAAATTTTTAGCAAATTCGCAAAAGTATTTTTCTTAAAAATAAATTACCAATAAGAAAATGTAAACAAAGCAGTAGTCATTTGCAAAATTTCGAAACGTAAAAATTAATCAACAGCATTTTGACCCGAATTCGCAAAATAAAATCGACGTAAAAATTTCCAGATTTACTGTATTTAATTTGTAAGCACTTTAGAGGATGCTGCTTGGTAGTATTAGGATTGAACAAGATAGCATCTAAGAAATGTACAAATATAATAAAGTTTAATGTCAAACAAATTTCATCAAATAACAGTTAAACAATGTATCAGTGTTGTTGGACAATACATTTAAAATATTTGAAGTATGGACTTTAGTACACTACACTTTTTTTAATCGAAATTGAAAGATTATTTAAAAATCATCGTCATCTTGAATTTAAACTCTTCCTTCCTTAAAACTAAGAAGATAATATTAACCTCATATATGGCAAAATGGATAGTACTTTTAACCCCCCCCCCCGTTCACACATAGAGGCCGCTTCTAATACGATCAAAGCGTGGAAAAAAACTTAGCCGATCGTGACAAATCGCAAGAGAAACGTAGTGAAGTCTTCAGAAGCGCAGTGGGCTCTACGCTCGCGCCACGCTTCATTTGAACATGCTCAAAACTAGCATAGTGGACCGTGGCCAACAAGTCGTAATAAGAGTGTAGAAGAAGCGCCGTAATCGTACAAGCAGCGCGGAAGCATCGTAGAGAGATCTTCGTGATCGTAGTAAAAGCGCACTAAAAGCGTAGGAACTTATCAAGTAGAGTGTACGCTCCTACAACGCTCCCACTACGCCGATCATACCACGAACAATCAGGCAGCAGTTTGTTTTCATAGCGCTGATATTTGACCAATTATCATCTGTCAACTACATGTAAAGGGTGACACTATACTTGATGATCATTTGGAGTTGAAACTTTTCACATCTTACTACAGTTACGTGATATGTCCCGTAAACCACATGGTAAAGGCCATGAAAAATCTGCGGTTGCAAGATATGTATGCATCATCGCCAAAATCGTTCTAGAAAAATCTGTGGTTGCAAGATATATCTACATCATCGCCAAAATCATACTAGAAGCGTAATACAATCGTTTTTTGATCGGCACCACCGTAGCGATATCGTCAAAAGTCATCTAGGTCTGCGTAGCGTCGTAGTAAGATCTTGAATGTCTTAGAGGCAGCGAAGTAGAAGTGTGTTAGCAGCGCATTTGACTTAGGGGCATCCTACTACGGTCGTAATGAAGACCATAAGCCAAACTGATCGATTTAGACGCCGATCAGCTCCCATCCGCCTGGATCTAAACTTTTTCGGGTCACGGCTTGCTGGGGATGATCGTCGCAAAAAAGCAGCACTGTGTGAATGGGGGCTTAAATACCGTAGCAGAGAAATTGATCCTGGTGGTGGTAATAGCATACTTGTTGCAACAAACTTGGGAACAGTATCAAATACGTGTACTCCGAGTGTTTACAACAGACCACATCGGAACACATGATCGATGTCGTCACTAGTGATACTGTGACGACCTATTCTGTTCTAAACATCACAGGTATCACTGTATCCCTACTAAAACGATTGAATAACAGAAGGAATGTCATTCAAATCTGTGTTCTCATACGTTTGTGAAAAAATTGAATATATCTTAGGAAGGAAAAACTCCAGGAAAAAAATAATATTAAGAGCATTTTCAAAATAAATCTTAAAAAGCTATCCTCTATCTATCAGTGCGCCCGACCTTCCCTTGAAGGCATCAAGACGAGCAGTCGTGATGCCTGTTTTGTCTGTTTTGCCTATCTCGAAGTGCTACTGGAATTTCAGTCTTTTTTGAGAATTCGAACTGAAAGAAAGAAGTCAAGGGGGACAGTTCAATTATTAACCGAAGGAAATGAAAGAATGTCAACAGTACGCAAAAGTCAAGGCCCATACCGGATATGTCTGCAAAGCAATGGAAGGTCACTACAACAAATGAACATCAGCACAGACACGATAATACCAACTCCTAAAACAGAGCCCAGTCTTTTTGAAGATGTTCTCTCATCCTTGGCACAGGTTTTTGCTCTCACTGTTTTAGAGAGTTTCTCTTTATGAACTTCTAGTTCCTTCTTCATATCCTCTAGTCTTTTTTCAAGAATTTGTGGATCACTGATAAAATTCTGATATTTTACCCTGTCGCATGGGCACTTACAACCTGTCCAAAATGCAAATTAAATAAAACAGATATAATGTTGAAAAACATACTTGATGTTATTGAAATATCAATTTTACGCATTTTACATTATAAGTTCCGACAACTTACGTTTACAGACTGGTTTCTTTCCTGTCCAATCACCGCTTTTGTTACAAAGTCTTATAAGATTGCCATCCACGTGGCGATGGTTTTTCCTACATTTGTATGTCACATTTTCATCCTCAAAATAGATCGGCAGATGCCCATATTCAAGAATAGTAGAGCGATTCTCGTGAACCGGCTCCATACAAGTGACTGTTGACAATAAGAAATAAATTATAGTGATTTTTTATCGACGTCTTATTGATATCCGTACCCAAATCCACAGAAACACGTTAATAATCTTACGCTGCCATTGGAAAACTTTCAATTATAATTATTTTGTTTTACTTTGACATTATTGATACTTTTTGATTTATTAGAGAAGTTTGATTGTAGCATTAACATATTCTCAAGTCTGTAGGTTGAAAAAATTAAAATAGGTGCCTGACCATTGCACACCGGCGGTTTTCCTGACCACGTTCCGTTCTCTCTACACTGAAGTGTGAGATTTCCATCAGTCAGAACATGTCGCTCATCACACTCAAAGACACGTGACTTCAGATACCCAGTGAAAGGTTCTCTGACGTCTGGACGATATTGAAAATCTTCATCCAAATTATATTTGAATCGTGTGTTATTGTAGTTTTCGTTGATACATCTATCTGCAATTTTAGAAGTAAGAATTTAAAATCTTTTGGCACATGACAAAAGATTATACGTTTGCTTGAAGCAAAACGGTTACATTTTGCTACATGTAGCATTTTTTGAAAAATTAAAAGAGCAGTTTTAGACTCTTTTCAATAATTATTGTACTGTAGTTTATTCTAATCAAACTTAAAGCAAACTGTCGCATTTTAAATTCAGCTATATTAGATGTAGTCATTTTCAAAATGTTTTAAAATCATGAAAAACGTAGAAAGAAACCTAGAGGTACTGGGAGCCCTGAGCTCACTAAATTATACCCCTGCCTTCCATACCATTATGATGATAAATTCCATGTTTCGATCTGAGAGACTCAAAATAAGTGTCAGATAAAAAATAAAATAGGAGGAGCACTTTGCAATAAAGAATATGTGAAAGTATCATTGAATTTTATTCTATGGTATAGGAGAAGTTGTTGATAAAAGATGTATACCTGCTAGACTTAAACTGAAGTGGAAGACAATGATACCCTAGATACAAAGAATATTGTTAAAATAAAAACATGATAAATGGGCAGAATGCGAATTGTCTATCCTTTCCATTTTGGTAGACCAAAAGTGATAATTAAATAAACTAGAAAGACAACATGAAAAACACGTTTCATTGATCATTGTTAGTTAATCTTCAACTTAAACAAAGCTTGCAACAATATAGTCTTTAATTTTTAAAAGTCTCATTATTTCAACTGCATTTTAGGAAAACTCAGTTTTAATTCCACATCTAGTAGGCCTATCTCAATCTTTACTCAGAATTTCCTTTCGAAATAACTTTCAGTTTTAAGTACTGTATCATTCTAATCAATGGGAGTGAGACTGCTTCACTGTATCATATTAAATTTTAAAACTTCATAAAAATCCTTACAAATGTATATTGTAGGGATCAAGAAATGGTCAACAAAACTCTTCTTTTTACTCCTCGTTAATATTAGAGACTTTAGACATATTGTGTTCCTACATAGTCAAGAAGTAGTGTAAATAAGATGTTGATTCTAGAGAACTCAAAAATAAATGAAAAATTATATCTCAAAACAGTCCAAACATCAGAAGAATCGAAATATGCCTTTATACAATTATAATCTAATTTTCACCATAAATTCTAGTAAGGCTGTGCTAATATTTTTTTGGTGTAAAGAGGAATTTTATGGACCCCCTTTCTCTGGCAATGTATCTCTGCTATGATTTTTACGAAGTTTTGAACTGCATTTTAAAAAAGAACAATTCTGATATCCAAGTCGCTATATATCACAGAGGTTTTGACATTTACAAGGCTAAAATAAATGATTTTTTGAAGTCCAATGGTAGTCAAATTTTATAAGAAAACTAGTCGTCAACAATAGATACACTTACCATGGCAGTAGAAATTGATGGATTGCCCCTGGATGTTGGAGTCAGTTTTGTATGAACACTGTTGTTTACCGTCACATTCAGCTAACATTAAATTTGTTTGAGAGTTCTCCAACTCTCCCACATTCATTAGAGACAGGTAATTGTTATCACACCTGAGTGAGAATGTTCCGTGTTCAAAAACCACTGTCGAATTCCAAAGAGCTGTAACAAATACAAATTATAAAATCGAAATGAGTTAATCTAAAGTTAATATCAATGTAAGAATTATTTTATTTAAAATTTAAATAAAAGTTCTTAATTCTAAAATGCATGGAATAGTCTAGCTTAACCATTATAGAAAGACGTTTCATTTTTTATATATGCATGTACATGTACTAGTACTATAAGTTTTCGTGTATTTTTTAATTACTTGTTTCAAAGGAGATCGTTTAAAATTAGTTTTATAATAACTACGGTGTATATGATATGCCTTTTTACTTTTTAATTTCAAAAGTTATATGCAGTTATCAACAAACAATAACCAACTTTTACTAAAGCTGTCTTCGGCAACTTCACTTGGGCAAGTGCAATTCTCAGATTCTTCGTAAACACATCCTAAAAATGCATAAAAATATTTCTATTCTCTCAAACTTATATCTATACATAATAAATAATATGAACAAACTGGTATAAGGATGCTTACACTTCATAGGGACTGTTTTCCTGCATTTCTTGAGAAGATTTGATTTTATCTATGCATTCCCTTATAAAACTTTGAGCCCATGTTGTGACCCAATCCTTCCCACATGGAACATGATCTATTACAAACTTGAATTTACTTTATAAAAAACATATTCACTTTTTTGACTTAGTTGTCTCAGTGAACTTCCCTTGTAAGAGAAAAAAAACTGTTATCACCTTCACCTAAGGATGCTTTGTGACAATGGTTGAAATTGGAGATAATGAAAAAGTGAATAGCTATTAACAACAACGACAGGCAACAGACTGAAAAACATCAATGGTTTCTGGTATTTATAAGTGTGAATATATCCACCAATTTTGGGTTGTTAATTGAAGTACAAAGTCTTTCACAACACAAAAATAAGCGAGAAAAAAAATTTGCAATGTACGATGTAAATGATTTATTTTGATAAGTTTTAACTTTTATTTAAGATAACGACAATTTACCATAAATTTCCACCTCGCAAGGCTCAATCACAACAAAGTTTTCGGTTCGTGGATTTGTTTCGTTGACGTACAGGAACACTTGTATACCGTCCCTTCCCCCGGGGAAAACGATGGTATTTTGATAGCTGGGACTGGGTTCTTCGTCATGGTACACGGGACTAAGAGAGGCCAGTTCCTCTGCCATTACAGTCTTATTTGTGATGAACACATAATAACCATCATGTCGGGTAACTGAAATAACAGGATCATATTTTTGCTGTCTTTGTCAATTTTAGCTTTAAACATTTCAGCTATGTTCTACATGTAGTTCTATATTATTTTGTTTGGACAGGATGATTTTACAAGTAATAGCTGTAATTTTTTTTATATTTAGGCCTACTCATTTGTACTCGATAACAATTCTTTAGGATACTTTATAATTAATTATTTATCAATGAGGTTTTTTTTAACTGCTCTAGTACACAGAGGAAAAATGTTTTATTTTTGGACAATATAAAACCATTTCATATGTTTTCAAATATATTTATTTCATTTTCAAAATAGAGTACAGTCTTTTAACTATATGAAATATTTTCAAAGCCATTGAAGCTCTGGTAAACAGAAAGCTCTGGTAAACAGAATTCATTGCTGCTCATTTAAAAAGAAGAAAACGCTTGCAAAACACTATATGCGGTATATTGCATATCTTTGCCCCCACTAAAGTCAAATTTTGAAACATTCTTGAAATGTGTTGAATTCTTTATATAGTATGAGAAATATAAATTTACAGAACATATTATAGTTTCAAAGTAGTTAATTGACAATTTTTTGTTTTTATGACGTCACAAACTAGTCCGATTTTATATTATTTTTTTTGGAAAGAGGACAAAATGGACAAAATCTCAAAAATTTTAGCTTTAAAATTTATAAAGCACAAGTTTGCTCAGGAACAAAATTTACAAATTTCATTGATATTATCATTCTACACATTATATCAAAATATTGAGCCTGATCAGACCTGCGCTCGGTGATTTTAACTCAAAATAACCACGAAATATATACATTTTCCGTAGAAATCAAGGACATTTTAAATTTACGTCATTTTCGTGACGTCATTTCAAACATATGACGTCATTACGAAAATATTCAGTGCGTTTTAGTCAGCATATATCCCCCTGTTCTAGAACATAATTAAATATCTCTCCGTCATACTTTGATTTGGGGGGCAAAAATTGGTTATTACCGAATAATGTCCTTTCTCAAAAATCTAAGGACAGTTAACACTATCTGCATAAAAATATCATGAAATTGGAGCTCGTTAACATAGTTTATATACAGTATACAGAAGGTAATATTAAAACTTTATTTTAAACATCATTTGTTATAACAAGATGAACAACTAAATTGTTAAATAAGTCGGTATTGATTCAAAGTTGTGTCAATTGTAAACCTATAGGGTTTAGCACAGACATATTATTTAAACATTTTAAACTTAGACAATATTAATATCATAATCATTTTTAGTTATGAGTAGTGAAAGTAAAATGAAACTAGAGGTACTGTGAGCAATGAGCTCACTAAATGATTCCCCCCGCCTCCCATAATGTCCATGTGTTGCTATATATTGTTTTAAGGTAATGTGTAAAGAAGAATAACTCGTCCTATCAAATGTTATCCAGAAGCTTCTATATGTGACGTCATAGGTAAACACATAATGGCAATGTCCATGTTTTGCTATGGGAAACCTAAAAGACGTGTCGAATAAAAAAGTTAAATAGGAGGTGCACAATGGCAATATGTAATAAAGATTCTATGAAAGTTTTATTAAATTTCACTCAGTAGTATAAGAGGAGTTGTGGATAAGAGATAAAGCGTAACAGACGGACGGACGGAAATACCGATTACTATATACCCTCCCACTTTTCAAGCGGGAGGTATAACTAGAGTTAGTGTGAGCAATGAGCTCACTAAATGATACCCCCGCCTCCCATATGTATATTATGGCAGAATTCATATTTTGCTATGGGAAACCCAAAATATGTGTCGGATCAAAAAGTAAAATAGGAGGTGCACAATGACAATATGCAATAAAGATTCTGTGAAAGTTTCATTAAATTTCATTCAGTGGTATGAGAGGAGTTGAGGATAAGAGATGGATCCCCCAAAGCGTAACAGACGGACGGACGGACGGACAGACGGACATCCCGATAACTATATACCCTCCCGCTTTACAAGCGGGGGCATAATAAAAGTTTATTTAATCAGAATGTATATTAATAGTATCTCAAATTTGGTGACTTTATAACTGGAAAAAGTACTTATAATGAACTATTATTATCTTGTTAAAACAAATTGAATTTTGTTTTTGTTCCAATGTACTACATAATTTGGTAAATCATTTTGCAATGAAATTGATCCGAATAGACCAATCAAGCCAATTGATAGTAAGAAATAAAATTGGAACGGAAATGCAACGGTATTAATAAGATTTTGACCAAGAGCAATAAAATTGGGAACGTTGAAGTAAACTAGAGGTACTGTGAGCAATGAGCTCACTAAATGATACCCCCCCCCCCCTCCCATATGTATATTATGGCAGTGTCCATGTTTTGCTATGGGAAACCCAAAATATGTGTCGGATCAAAAAGTAAAATAGGAGGTGCACAATGCCAATATGTTATAAAGATGCTGTGAAAGTTTCATCAAATTTCATTCAGTGGTATGAGAGAAGTTGAGGATAAGAGATGGGTACCCCAAAGCGTAACAGACGGACGGACGTACAGACGGACGGAAGGACGGACGTACAGACGGACATAACGATTACTATATACCCTCCCGCTTTTCAAGCGGTGGGTATAAGTAAAAGAGCTTAGGGCTAGGTGTAGAGATGGGGACTGAGCCCATAAATATTAGTAATAAGTGTTTAGCTGTATTAGAGGGTGGTGCCATGTTGGGGTTCATAGGTTAACGGACAGACAAAGCGTAGATGGTAAGTAATGGTGGGACAGCCAGTGAAATGTGCAGTTTTATATCCTGGATCATGAATACCCTCTGAGCACAAAATACCCTGGTTTGCCAGAAAACGGCATCTTTCTTTCTCATTCTCATCTCAGATTCTCAATTTAATTCTCAATTCTCTCTCTCATTATTACATTCGCATGTCATTCTATTTTTGGGAATCATTCTTTTGGACTTTTATTTATTATACCCCCGCTTGAAATAGTAATCGGTTTGTCCGTCCGTCCGTCCGTCCGTCTAGCTGTACGCCCGTCCGTCTGTCTGTTACGCTCTGGGGAATACATCCGCAACTCCTCCCATGCCACTGAATGTTTGATGAAACTTTCACAGAATCTTTATTGCATATTGCCATTGTGCACCTCCTATTTTACTTATTGATCTGACACATATTTTGGGTTTCCCACAACAAAACATGGACACTCCCATTATATTCATATGGAAGGCGGGGGTATCATTTAGTGAGCTCATTTCTCACAGTACCTCTGGTTTTTTGGGAGTTCAGCCTTCAGCTCTTTCTGTTTTGGACGGATCCTTAGACATTTATATAAACAGTGTATTGCTTTATTCGCATCAAAACTATACGATCACTGTCAATTTGGATTTATATAATAAACTTTGAAATAAATGCAAGTTTCGTCATTGGCTCACACAATTTGAGTTAACCATGTGAATGCACAAATGTTACTATTATTTCCTAAAACTATATTAAGTTATGAACAATATACGAAGGCTGTTCAATAAATTGTGTGCTTGGTGTTCAGAAAGAAATAAAAAAAAAAATTGCCAATTTTTAAATTTTCTCTAAAAATACTCTCCTTTAACTGAAACAGATTTTGCAACCTTTTTATCAGGTTATATGTGATATATGGCAGTTCCAAGATTTGTATTTTTTCCTGAAAGGTGTGTTTTAACTATCGGAAAAAGAAATTTATTATTAATGTTTCACTGGGATTCAAAGTCATGAATTCAGGTTTTATTACCTATTAGAAGTTTTAACAAACGTCGTTCATTACAGTTTTTGATATTTTTTCAATTAAAAATTTTTAGCACTTCTAACCAGAGACATATATTCTTTTATACATCTCTGTTCTAACTCCATGTTGTTTTTATTCATTTGTCAAAATGTTCGGTATCTTCCGTCCTTAGCTTTTTTAGTGTGATATGTTTTTCCCCTCAAAATTGTGTGGACAACCTCCGAAAATATGCCTACTAACTTCGCTATGTGTCTAACAGTCAATCGATCATCATAAGTAGCATGTTTCTGAATTTTAGCTATCATTGCATTGGTGGTTGTTGTTGGTCTTGGTCCACCAGGGCGGGATTCATCTCTGATTTCCATTTTACCATTTCTGAATTTTTATATCCACCTGTTCCTTTATTTGAAACAAAACAGCTTTTCCAGGAACTTTTTGACACGCAAGTTTAAAAAAAAGTCACATATGCCATGCACTACGTCATCAGTTTTAGAGGGGGTGACAATGATTTAGAAAATCACGGCCGCTATGTGCGGTGATCCGGAAAGTAGGATCACAACGTAATGTGATTTCATGAATTCAACAGTAAAATTGAGTGATATACAGGTTAATATATAATAAATGAACTTACATTTCTCCCTGAAGACCAAATTGATTTTAAAAATCTTGGAAGACGACTTGAAGGTAACTTGCCACCAAGCTTCCTTATTTAAGGGTTTGTCGACCCTTGAACCGGCACATCCGTGTGAGTGGTTGTGATATTCTCCATCCAATGCCTTCTCTGCTGAGAGTCTTGGTTTCCCTTCATATTCTTCATATACATATTCTGATGATATTGAAGTATTTTCTCGGTATTCGCGTCCCAAATTACAGATCTGAGCTGCTGTGGAATAGACGGGTGAAAACGTTGGTTAATTCGTTCAAATATTGCATCTTAAATTCTCAGAGAGGAACTGAAATATCAATGTTGCTTTTATGGGATAATTTAGAAAATCTAATCCCTTATCACCTGCATCAAATGTGTAGTTTACGTCTAATAAGTGTTCCGATATGCAATAGCATGCTCTACATACGACCAATTTATAAATGAATCAAGTATTTAAAAATTCTATGATAGATACAGTGACTTTGTCTGCAAAAACAGTTTAACATTTTGTCGAATGGGGACTGATGTTTTTTGGCTACTAGTATTATTTTTAAAAACATTACGTTGTCAACGGAAATTTTTCTTCTCATCAACGACACCCGCGTGGCGCAATGGTTATCTAGAGCACCGTGTCAAACCGTTACTTTAAGGGAGTCGCGAAAAAGAACGAGGGAGTCGCTTTTTACGCCAGGGGGAGTCGATTTTCTTCGCTTGAAAAACTGCCGAAAGGTAGGTCACGGTGTTTTGTTGCATTTAGAAATAGTTTTTGCACAAATACTATATCGCACGGAACAATACGATAACTAAGGTACATGTACATTAGAAGTTTCCCAGTCTTAACCATCTAGTATGCTCAAACACTTCGGATCTTTTTTCAGTATTCACAAATTTTACTTTGCCGATGACAAAAAATATGCATTAATGAATATTTATGTAGTATAACCAGGTTGTAGGTGATCTAAATGTTTTATTATTTGATAATCTTTATTGTTTGACAATTTGAATTTGGAAAATGATCGTTTAAGGAATGTACGGAGGCAATTTCTAATTTCAGTGCAAAGGTAACGGAGGGGGGAGTCGATTTCTGTTCATGATTAAGAAAGGGGGAGTCGCAAAGTAATCTAAATAATGAATTTTGGCAATCAATGTTGTCGAAATGAGCATTTTGAATGTTGAAAATGTCATATTTTATTGTCAATATCAATCTTTGAACGTTATTATGGTTTTTTAGAAATGACAAAAAAGAAATCATCCTTTTAACTCCATCAACCTAAAACAATATATCACAGTCTGAGCCAGTCTATTCGATTTCTGCACATATGTTAATGAGCACCACTCTCTACAAAGTCCTGCAAAGAGAAAGACAAATTTAATTCGTACAAAATAAATAGGCCAAAATTATTCTCTAACTCAATGTTTAAAAAACTTTTATCATTTTGTTTTAGGATACAAAATTTCTCTTTGTATCATGGCTGCGGTGTTTTTCCTTTGAAGTAAAGTGTACAATAACTGGAGATACACCGATGGGCGGAGGCAGCAAAACCTGTACTGTGCCGTGTAAATAAATTATTGAACACTTACGCGATTTCATCAATTTAAATCACATGTATATTGAATATGAATTACAGAATGAAATGGGCTATACAAATGCTAAATTTCTGCAAGTGAAATAAAAGTCTTTTACATAAATTACAGTGCGTATCCCACACTACGAAATGCTTTTACGGAACTCTGCAAATATTCAATCCTCCACAACGAGAAATCAAGTTCTTGACACGAATTTCACACAGAATTATATTAAAACATCACACCTATTGTAATAAACTGCTTTAGCAAAAAAACAAAAAACAAACCATCTTTGCCGTGTTCATTGCTCAACGAGAATAAGTGCAGATGTACTGCATCCACAGATGAAGACCCTGACACAGCGTTTTCGTGAACGCAACAGCTATCAAATATGTCAAATGATCAACGGGTACCTTTTTTCTGGACTTTCGAATAACATCTGAGTTTTCCTTCTTAACTTCGATTTTTTTTCCTGTTTGATATCCAAAGGTTTTCTTGTGATATTCATTTTAAAAAAAATCCGTTCTTAAATTGCGACGGGATGCTGCAATCCGACGTCCTTTCTCATGAACACACACACACGCAAAATGAGTTTATTAAAAATACTGGCAGGAAGGAGAGATTATCCATGCGGTCACCTGACAAAAACTACATTTTCTATTGGTGTAATTAAAAACCATGCATATTATTTGTGATATGACGTTTGATTGGCCATGATACAAGAAAGTTATTGAATATTTATTATGGTGTATCCTGATTTATTTGGACGAAGGGCGGAGACTCGTGCTTCGCACTCGTCACCGCCCCTCGCCCAAATAACTCAAGATACACCATAATAAATATACAATAACTATTACTTAGATGTAATACCAAAGAAATTTAACCACACCGTTTTTGCCCACATAGTTTGAAATGTGGACTATCAGACCCCCTGTAAAAGATTGTGAAATTAGACATTTTGAATAAAGAATGTGCATTATTTAAATAAAAAGATTACTATCCAGGCACGTAGCATCGTTTTTGAAAGTGGGGGGGGGGGGCGGGGCAACCAGAGAATTTTTTTTACTTAATACCTCAAGAAGTTGACAAGCAAAAAAAAACAAAATTAAAAAGTTGCCCAAACTCGAAAATCCTATTTCGTGGTGGTGGGGGGGGGGGGCAACTTTTTCAAAGAAAAATTACTTCACTTTCAGTTTTTGCTACAATTCCTTGATATCATTATACTATGGTAAATTGGGAGGGGGGGGCAACCACACTTTCAATGAATATTTTCTAATGTTGGGGAAAAAGGGGGGGGGCAACCATACTCTCAATGAATATTTTCTAATGTTGGGGAAAAAGGGGGGGGGCAGGCACCCCTGCCCCCCCCCCCCCCCCGTTGCTACGTCCCTGCCATCAGTCTATTACAAATGTGTGTGATGCTGTTTCTAAAGACAACCTTTGGTAAATAATTCAGTACAAGAGGTCCATGGGCCACATCGCTCACCTGAACATTGTGGCTAGGAACAAACTTGAATCTATACTACCTGATATACTACCTGATATATGCTTCCACATAAATATGAGCAATTATGGCTTTGCAAAGATTTTTTTAAGAATTTTCTTGTATATTTCTATGTAAAGCTTTGATCGGCCCTTTTGGGCCCGCCCTACCCCGGGGGTCATGATTTGAACAAACTTGAATCTACACAACCTGAGGATGCTTCCATATTAATATGATCAATTATGGCTTTGCTATTTTCGAGAAGAAGATTTTTAAAGAATTTTCTTACATATTTCTATTTAAAACTTTGATCAATAAGGCGCAAAAATGTTAAAAATTTATTTGCTATATGCCTTTATCGTATTTGAAGAGTTTCCCAGAAGCTTTTGAAAAAATGTCTTTAGATATTGTTTTTGAATTTTCATCCTGTATTTGGATACCTATGGCAGCTGTACATATATCATGATACTCGATTTCGCTGAATTGTTGTATATCAGATTTGTCAACCCGTTGTCTTTTGGGAGTTCTTTTCAACGGGGAAGGTGACCCTCTTGTCTGGTTGCACTGAAAAACTCTATGAACTTTCAGCTTTTTTTGGTGTTGGAGATCTTGAATTAGAAGGAGTTTTTTAGGGGATGTTTAATATATCAGCTGTCCATTTCTATTTGTACGGACTACTGGTATTTTGTATTTTCCCTTTTTGTTAGGTTGATGGAGCCATAAAGATGATTTCTTTTTTGTCATTTTTAAAAATTCAGAATAATTAAGTTCAAAGATTGATACTGACAATAAAATACGACATTTTCAACATTCAAAATGCTCATTTCGACAACATTGATAGCCAAAATTCATTATTTAGATTACTTTGCGACTCCCCCTTTCTTAATCATGAACAGAAATCGACTCCCCCCTCCGTTACCTTTGCACTGAAATTAGAAATCGCCTCCGTACATTCCTTAAACGATCATTTTCCAAATTCAAATTGTCAAACAATAAAGATTATCAAATAATAAAACATTTAGATCACCTACAACCTGGTTATGCTGCATAAATTTTCCTTAATGCATATTTTTTGTCATCGGCAAAGTAAAATTTGTGAATACTGAAAAAAGATCCGAAGTGTTTGAGCATACTAGATGGTTAAGACTGGTAAACTTCTAATGTACATGTACCTTAGTTATCGTATTGTTCCGTGCGATATAGTATTTGTGCAAAAACTATTTCTAAATGCAACAAAACACCGTGACCTACCTTTCGGAAGTTTTTCAAGCGAAGAAAATCGACTCCCCCTGGCGTAAAAAGCGACTCCCGCGTTCTTTTTCGCGACTCCCTCAAAGTAACGGTTTGACACGGTGTAGAGGGTCTGTTCTAAAGTCGTGGAGTAAGGAGTTGATCATTACGTCGCGGGTTTGAATCCCACTGTCATTGTGGGACGTGAAGACCGGTGTCGCATAATATTCGTTCCGGGTGTTTCGCGTTCCGGCCGGAACCTTAAAATCATAATATTGGTTCCGGATTTTACTGTAATATAGGTTCCGGCCATGAGTTCAATCTTCGAATCGCGGTATCTGTCCAGATTTCATTCCACATTGAGTCATGGAAGTAGTGGGGGTTTTCTTGATTTTCTTGAGGTTTTAGCATGACGCAGCGACATTCTATTTTCGTGCGTCGCGCAATGTTTTGTACTTACCAATTTTAAAAAATAGATGAATAAATAGCCTGATGATACTCTTTCTGATACATATGACTTTGGTCGCATTATAAGGCTTTGTTTATCTTATGTATACAAATCGGTTATCTACAACTCAATTCCTTTTGTTTATTTAGTGCATGCCAGGTGTGAATCTCTCGCTTCAATGCACGCAAACTCGTAAAGACAGGTAAAGAGCATAGTTAGGAGAAAAACAGTTTAAGACCGGGATTACGAAAGACTAACATTTAAAGAAACACAATGTCAAAGAATTAATTAATTGATAAATTTTTTATTTCAGAATTCGATAAAAGTAAAGAACAAATATTGATAATTATATATTTACGGAATGAAATTCTCTGTTTAAATGATATTAAACATGTTGACATTTCACCAAGTCGAGGATCAAACACGGCTTCCATTCCTCATAATTAAAGATTTTTTTTCATAATTAGATATTATTGATGAAATGGCATGATAATATGGTTTATATTCCATTTGAAATATGTATATGATTCACTGTTGAAGAATGTTACGTAAGTAGTATAAACGGCCTCGCTAGCCCGGAAGTGACGTCATAACCGAAAGTGGGCTAACCGGAAGTGGCCGGAACTGGTCTAGCGGAAGTGGGCGGAAGTGGTCTAGCGGAAGTGGGCCCTAGCGGAAGTGGTCTAGCCAGAAATGTCCTAGCCGGAAGCTGACTGGATGACCGGGTCAACTGAGTGCAGTTCTAACCCTAACCCCCTAGCCCCCTAACCCTAACCCTAGCCCTAACCCTAACCCTAACCCAAACCTAACCCTAACTAACCCTATCCGTAACCCCCTAACCCTATCCCCCCTTAGCCCTAACTAACCCTAACCCTAACTAACCCTAACCCCCTTAGCCCTAACTAACCCTAGCCCTAACTAACCCTAACCCTAACTAACCCTAACCCCCTAACTAACCCTAACCTATTCCCCTTAAATACTGGAGTTGTTTACACTGTGTTTTCACATTGGTACGTAGGTACTACGTTTTTGTTTATGCTGACTATACAGGTAAAAAATGCGCCGTGTGCAAAACATTGCAAGAATGTGATTATGACGTCACGCTTCACAGTCTAGACAGTCCTATAACCGGTTTGAACTGGTTTTACTGAAAACAAAAACACACACAAGACAGATTAGAACACAGATTTTATTCACAATGAAAAATACAAAAATGATTTTAATTTCCACTGTATCTGCCAAATTTTCGGGGGCAATCTGGGGCCCAATGTCCTAACTTTTTGCAGATATAGCATGGATCCATCTGTTTCTTACTCTCTCCTGATCCGCCCTGGGTCCCTTCTTCTTTTTCCTGGTCAGTCCTTCCTCCTTTCATTTTACTGATGTAAATTATCAGATGATTCAGCTGGTTTTGAACATCACTCACCTTGTTGTTCATATCATTCATCTTGTTCTCTAGATCAGACAGCATTCCGTCCAGAGTGGTGTTTAAGTGGTTTTCAACATCACTCAACTTGTTATTCATCTTGTTCTCAAAAGCGGACAGCATGTTTTCAATTCCATCCAAAGTGGTGTTTAAGATGCTCATATCTTCTTCTTTATTCATGTCCTCAGGAAAATTAACCATGTCCAAATTCAAATCCAATTCCACTGCATCCTTTATTATCTCTGTCATGGGAGCTCCTACATATCCTTCAGGTGTCACATAATACTGGGAATTTTCTGAAGTATTCATCCTTACTTTCTTTTTTTCACCTGTGTCCAGTTCGAAGTGCTCACGCAGAATGATCATCAAATTTTACAGTTTTTTAGTTTATATACCTGCTATGAGCCGTGTGCACCTTTTTACCTGGGCTTTATATACCTGTTCCATCATCTATAAAGGAGCCGTGTGCAAAAAACTGAGGGTCGTGTGCAAAAGAAATATACCTTTTACCTGTGTTTTCTTATATACCTGTTTGCACCCTCTATAAAGTGCCGTGTGCAAAAAGTACGATAAACTTACCTATGCATTGTGACGTCATCCACTGTATAAATACAATGTGATTATGACGTCACACTTTTTCATTTACAGTCTAGACAGCCTAGTCTAGCCAGCCTAACCGGTTTGAACTGAATTTTTTTTACTGAAAGACAATAACAAATAACACACAATACAAAAAACATGTGTGTGTTATGTCTGTCAAGTTATAACACCAGGTCACTTTTTAAAAAAAACTTAGAATTTCTTTTTAAATTTTTTAAACTTTTTTTAAAATTAACTTTAAATTTTTTATCTTTTAACTTTTTTAAAATAACTTTAAATTTTTTTTTCTTATAAATTTTTTTTTGGTAAACTCCCCTTATAGTTTTTAAGAAATAAAATTAAAAAAAAATCATGTAATACCACATCAGTGTTATGTTATTGTATGACTTCATCTTTTATACATTCGGGTTCGGGGTTTCGGGCGGCCATAGCGAATTTCAGCAAGATTTTACCCCAGTGAAAAAGGCTTGTAATCCACAGTGTAGGTCGTTTAAAGTTGTTTCACATTGTTTATGATTGTGATAATGTTATCGCTCGCCTATATGTTTAATGTCAGCTATGCTAAATAACCCATTTCTGTGTAATTTGAGAGAATGTTTTGACATGTGGTTAAAGTATGGCGTGCTATTCATGTTATCATTTAAAAAGTCGATCCTAAATAAATCTGTCTTAAAAAATACATTTTACGAATGACATTTAATATGATTCATTAGAGTATAGGTATCCATATATAAGAGATATTATTTTGCATTACATTTAAACATGTTTTTCTGTCCTGTTTGTCTGTCAATTGTTGCTTTACTTCCTTTGTAAAATGAGGTTAAATTGAGTATCACTGAATATTGTATGCTTTTTTTTCAGGATCAGCTGAGATGTTGTTTCACTGGATTATTTAATTGGGCATATAATTGAATAATTCTGGTAAGTTTGTCTTTGTTTTGTTTACATTTCCTATATGAAGGTCATCTTTGCATTTAATCATGATTATGTAAAGTTCAATTTTGAATGTCAATGCTGTATTTATCCTCATTTCATGTGATTTACACTTGTATAACCTGCATGTAACTCAGAGTGCATTTAATAATTCTATGATGGGTCATTCTATGATATTGAATTTCAATCAGAAAAATGTTCAAATTCGTATTGGTAAAATACATGGTATCTTTTACATTTCTGTCCCTTTTGTCTGTAAATTACTTTGCTTTACTTACATTGTTAAATGAGGTTAGTTGTGTATCACTGAATTGTATGATTTTTTTCAGGATCAGCTGAGATGTTATTTCACTGGATTATTTAATTTTAGACTTATTGGGCATATATTTGGATATCTCTGGTAAGTTTGTCTTGTTTTTTTTACATTTTCCTATGATGGTCATCTTTGCATTTAAGCATGATTATATGGTTAATTTAATTACTGTGTAATACTTATGTGATCTGTTGTCTCTAACTTACATTCATATAAGCACACCCTTATTTAACCTAAAATATATTAACACATGATTAAGGGATCTTCAGAATTTTAATAAGTCCTTTTGTATAAATTATATGATTTAATTTCATAATTCATTATGTATGTTACCCATGGCCATGGAATTCAGACTTACTAAATGGTGATCAAAGAGATATTAATTAGGAATCTAATATAAGAAAAGGAGGAATTTACAAAAGATTAATCCTAAGTTATTTACTTTTTGTTTTGATTCTAAATATGTGGGATATATGGCATACATATATTTTCATTTTCACTTTTGTTTCTTAGTAATGAGCTTTTCAAAAAATTAAGGACTACATGTTGTACTGTGATGAGGCTAAAAAAAGATGTATTTTTCTGTATGCAGTACTGACAGATATTAATCAAAATTGAATCTGTTGTTAATAAAAAATCTTTTAGTGTCTAAATAATTAATTTGATAATCATTTTATTTGTGATATCAATACAGTAATTGTGCTTTTTTTTATTATCTAAAGATAACATGATGAACTTTTCTCATCTGGAATTAATGTTAAAAACAATTTTTGAGATTAAAAACAAACATTTTCATGATCTTTTTTTTTGGGGGGGGGGGGGGGCATTGTACATGTTTGTTCAATTTTCAAACATGCATTGTTTCATGCAGTACTCTGTCATATTAACAAAATGGTTTTATTTCTACAGTCATCAACATGGAAGATATGTATTGTTCCTAACCATCTATAATCCATTCTCTAAGAAGTTCAGACTGTCTGCTCTTCCTTTGGAAATACACAGTTAGTCATTCAACATAGAAACACGCAAACTTAAAGGCAAAGTTTCAATGAGATACAATTGTAATATATATTTATTTATTATTTTATTATTTTTTTTTTTATTTATTAATTTTACATATGCATGTTTATATTTTTGAATTGATATGTAAATGATATATTTAAATAAAAAGGGCTTGGTGGTCATGTTTAAACTATATTGATCTCCTTTAGAAGAAGAAGAAGAAGAGCTCCATTTCAATATATATATACAAAAATGCATGATCAAAGTTTGAAACTAAAATGTATGAAAGTTTTCTTTGCCAAATGATAGTTAACAGCTGAAGATAGCATATCTATAGAATAAGTTAAATATGGCTAATTTGTAACCCCCCCCCCAGCTTCCTTAATAGCATAGTTGGTAAAGATAGGAAGTTTTGACTTCAATTGCTGATGAATTCTGAATTTTCCATTTAATATTAACATTATATCACAGGGAAAGAATACTATAATGTAGCACATCAGGATGACCAGAAAAGAAATCTTAATGACCCTCTTAACTATGTATAAAGACTGTAACCTTATAACTGATGTAAGATAATCTGATTGTGTGGAATTAAAATTCCCTGGTGTTTCTACTACCCAAGATCTTCTTATGAGTGCATGGGACTGTTGTAAACCTTCTCCTGTTTATAAAAAAAAAAATATACCTTGGAGCATGACACTTTATTCATAAAAATCTTATGTTACAACTTGTATTTATACCCTTTTTGTCTATATTTAGATTTCAATCAAGCTCATGTTATATAACAATTTTTTTTTTTTAAACTGAGACATTTTTTTTTCAGGATTCTCTAGTGAGGGCTTATGGAAATGATCTATGTCTACTCTCAGAATGGTGAAAGACTATCAGATTATGCAAAGACTAACAGAATATCCTCTCTTGGAACACTGAAACAAGAAAATCAAACAGGAGATGGATGGAGGATTTAAGAAGCACATAGATAAATATGATTTCCTACGAATTTAACCAGTATTATCATAGACTGTGGTTTACAGGATGACAAAGTAACAGGATTGTATCATTTTACTGTCAGACACTGACTATGGATAAGATGTACCCATTTATTAAACTGAGATCTAGTCAAATCAAGTACAATTGTATTGAAAAAATGATTTTCTGATAGCATGAACTCTTTAAAAATTAATTCTCACAGACCTCAAAGTATCTGAATGTGACTTTTATTTTTACCAATTTCTATTGAAGACTGTTGTTATGTATGAGAAGTATACATTTAAATCTTTTATTTTTCATCTTATTTCTATAACCCCCTAGAAATTACACAGATATTCAGATGCTGAATTTAATATTATTATTTAACTTTCCTGGAATGGTAAATATATTTTGTTTGTGTATGTATCATTTTTTAATTTTGAATTTAAAATTGGTCTCAATAAGACCCCCAATAAAGATGCAAGTGTCCCATAATCTGTGGTTTAATAATATCTTGAATATCTTTATCATATCATATTCATCATACTAATTACATATTGAATGTTTGTAGGAATACACTTTGTTGTTTAGGACACTTTGTCAAGGTCAAAGCATAAGTTTATTGAGATGACTTCTTTGACAATAATTTGTAACTTACAAACTTCACATCATAAGTACACAGATGAAGAATCAATAAGATATTTCTATAGATTTTTTGGATCATTTACTCCTGGGTAAAAGTTAGTTACTAACTGAGATTACTGATTTGAATCCTGTAATGCAATAACTTAAACATTGTGTGATAACTTATAGACTTTATAAAAATTAGGTGCAAATTCTTAGGAAAGGATTGAAATGTACAAATCATATGCACTATGTTCAAGGATGTTTATATGACTATTACTATGTAATACCTTAGAATTCTGTAAAAAAAATTTATTATCACTGCGTAGATAAAAATGGTGCATTACAGCAACTCTGGTGATTTACATACCTTCAGTCATAAATACATGTAGATAGGTATTTGGAAGACTCCTTTAGATTTTGAAATTTTTATTTCAAAAGTATAGAATTTAAGTTTGAAAGATTTAAAATGGCAGCATATCATTTGCTTGTGAATTAAAAAAATAAATCCAAACATATACATCTTTGGATGATAATTGTAGCATTTTATCAATTCCTGGACTTCGGTCTTGATATCATCCTTTAATGTCCTTAAAATTTTAATGACTGTCTTTTAGTTTTAGTTGAATTAGTTTCTTTTCTACATGTGAAAATTACATCATCCAAAGAAGTTCTTCATCTGCATGTTATATGAAGAAGACAATTTTCATCACAGTGAAAGAGATTGTTTTGTTAAACATATTGCATTGATGCACAAATATACTTTTAGATTTTTAATAGCTAGGGTTCATATTTCTTAATATGGAATGCTAAGTACTGTTGATTTCAATTTTTTGTGAACAAAGACATACTTGTAGAAAAAAATGTACATGATGTGTAAGAAAAGCATGTGTAAACCTTATGACTTTATATTTGCTGATTAATTCATTTATGAGTTTCATCTTTGTTTCAATGTAAACATTTCTAAGTAGGGCACACATCAGAAACTCTTAAAATTATTATATCAGGGTTTAACACAACAATTCCAAATGATTTTTGAATGCTTTTCATGTATCAGAAAGACAAAACAGAATGTTTGTTCACAGATGTTCCAAAGGAAAACAAACACAAAGAAATGATTTGTAATGTTCTTTATGTGATTCATGTAAAATGTGTTTTAAAAGTGTACCCTAACATTTATCTTTTGCATTTATATTTTTGTAAAGAATTTCTCATAACTTTGAAAAAGTAGTCTTATTGTATAATATGGGTAGCTTAAAATCTTGTAAACTTGAAAGTTGTACATGATGTGTTACACATCTTACATATGTAACCATTTCATTTCAGGGTTTTCAGCATATATTGTAGTTTTGTCTTAAATTTGTTTACTTATGTAATCAATAATTTGCTAATACTCAAATTAGGAAATATATGAGAGAATAAACAAGAAAATCAGGTTTAAAAAATGTTTTTTACTACAAAGGGGTTAATCCATAAGTAAATTCAGTCTATACATTTAAGGTATTGGTTTATGAAATAAACTTACATATGAACATTGTAAGACAATTGTAATCATTAGTTTAACCAGTTTTAAAAAAAAATAAATAGATTCACTGTCAGCATGTTATTTCTTGTAAAATAAATGAGAAAACAATTTTATTTGAGTCAGTTTTTGTTAATGTAAATAAAAAGCATTGGAAGTTGGGAATATTTCACAAAGTTAATTAATTTATACAAAATTTGTTATACATAAGTGAATAGAATTGGGCAGCAGGCAAAGCCTATTTGAGCCCTCTTTCTAAAGAGGGTAATTGAGCATAATTCTCACTAGGATAGTTGGAATATTTTGATTTAAGCATTAAAGAAACCATTTCAAATTTCAATATACAAATCATGTTTAGTCATGCAGTATATAGTTTACACTTGCCAAAAAGTAAATGGTTATCTCAATTCAGGATCAATCCAAAGGTCAAAAAAAGGAATGAAAAAAATATATCTTTTTTATGTATCAAACATGTAGGTATTGCAATAAATTCACTGTATTCATTTTTTGTCCTCTTTCTATGTATGAATAGGTCTGATTTAGGAAATCAAAATACAAGAAGTAAATAAATTATGTCAAATGATGAAGGTATACACCAGAAAATGACATGAACAGATAATTTTGAGTTTCCCTCAAATATGGTTGCCAAGGGATGTGAAATAAAAACAAAATGTGAATTCATCCATTAGGATTGAAACTTGTACATAATATGAATGATGGACACTATGACATTAAGAATGACATGAAAGAAATAAGTTTGACTTAATTATATGAACAGCTCTTAATCCATACTGTCAAAATGGAGGAAAAAATTTTCTTTATTAGGTATAAAGTAACAAACACTCACCCAATGCATCAGAATTTTACCTTTTGAAGAAAAGGAACCTTACTTTGTTGAGTTGACATTCAAGTTTTTGTGTTTTGACAGGTAGAGCAATGGTTTCTAA